GATCCAGATCTGGTGCGAGAGAGTGTGCGAGCCATCGGGCGTTGCGCACAGGGAGATGCCAATACCGCAGATTTATGTCTACGCATCCTTCTCAGTCAGATCTCCAGCCTGGACGGGAACCTGGTGTCGGAGTCTCTGACGGTTATCCGCCATTTGATCCAACAGGACCCGACATCACACAAACAGACTGTCATTCAGCTTGTCAAGCATCTGGGTTCGACAGCCCAGCCTGACGCCCGAGCCACCATTATTTGGCTTGTTGGTGAGTTCGCGGGTATTGACGCGGATAACAATATTGCACCCGATGTTCTTCGCGTGTTGGTGCGGACCTTCGCGGATGAGCCTGAGGTTGTCAAGCAACAAATTGTTCTCCTCGGTGCTAAAGTGTACCTTCAGCATCTTCTCAAGAACCCTCCGAAAGAAGACATTGAATCCACTGAAATCACATCGCCGGAAAAACATGCCATCAACTCACAGAAATTCCAGAACGAGTGGACAGATGATCAGCCTGAAGAGCAGATGCAACTCCCAGAGAATGAAGGCGAGGAGAAGAACAAAGAAAAGCAAGAAGACGTTGAGAAAAAAGAAGGAGAGGAAGAAGACCGCATTACTCTGCTCTGGCGCTACATCCTGTTACTCGCTCGCTATGACACTTCCTACGACCTCCGCGACCGGGCTCGCCTCTATAAAGCTCTCCTTGCCAGCCCATCCTCCACCCCGCTCGCCAACCTGCTTCTTCTCGCCCCGAAACCAGTTCCACACGTCCCAAGCCCGTCAGAAACACGCAAGGATCTTCTAGTCGGATCTGCAACCCTTGTTGTGGGTCCAGATGCTGGTCCCCACGGCTTGCGCGGTTACGAGAACCTGCCGGACTGGGTCGAGCTAGGCCACGAGCCAGATTCGAGTCTGCGCATCGACGATGTGAAACCGGATCCAACTCAAACCCAGCTCTCGATGACCGCGGGCGAACGACTAGATCGAGCGCTCCGTGAACATCAGACCTCCAGCGGGGCAGGCAGGAGACATAATGGTGCCGCGGTGCCGACGGACCCAGCCGGGAAGAAGACCCTGAATCAGTGGTTAGATGAGGAAGACGAAGAGGAGACCGAGACGGAGAGCGAAACGGATTCCGAGGAAGAAGAGACTGACTCGGACGAGGAAGATGAGTCCGAGGAGGAAGACTCTGAAGAAGACGATGATGAAGAGGAGGCGGACTCCGAAAGCGAGGCAGATCCCAAAGAAGCACAGCAGTTGCTGGCCTGGCCTGATTCGAGAGCGCCGATTGTATAATGGGTTAGGGCTGGGCTGGGTTGGACAAGGACATAGACGATACCTGTAGATGTGAATGACATGTGCTACGTACATATATCAATGGTTCAACTCTTCATTTCTTCATGATTTTTTTCGTCTCCTGCCCTTCTTATAGTTCCAGCCCACTGTCATTCTCGATCCAGGCACACGTCACGTGGCAGGCCGGTGAACGGCGGCAGTTTGGTCCCTGCCGAGACCTGTTTTGCTCGGACAGGGAGCAACTCTGCCAGCCTTCTAGCCCTGTGTGCGGGCATCTGTATACGATCGATCACTGCCCAGCTTCGACGGGGAACTGCTCTGTGGTCATGATGGTCGTTGCTTCGGGATCGCTCTCTCAACTGATCTCCCCTTCCTAACCTTCTCCGTTAAACCCACGCCCGCCACTCCAACCCCATCTTGTTGATTTATTCACCGCCGACTGCTTGATCCGCTTGCCTCCGTCCCAGCATTAACAGCATTCAACCAAACCCTGCGCTTGACGTCACAATTTGGTGTGGGAATTTCCATTCGGGCCACTAAAATCCTGTCGCTATGCCCGGCTTACCAGGTGAGTATCCACGGACAATATCCCCTGGATGTGTACTAACGTCCTGCCAGCCAGCATCGATCTAGATGAGTGCATCGAGCGCCTCTATCGAAAAGAACTACTCGCAGACTCGGTCATCGAAGCGATATGTGCCAAGGCGAAGGAGCTGTTGATGAAGGAGAGCAATGTCGTCCACATCGCTGCACCGGTCACCGTCGTGGGGGATATACATGGCCAGTTCTTTGACATGATTGAGATCTTCAAAATTGGCGGTTTCTGTCCCAATACAAACTACTTGTTCCTAGGTTCGTTCGCTGCGTGGGGCACGCCGGCTGTCTTTCGGGTTGGCTGATGTGATTACAGGTGATTATGTGGACCGCGGATTGTTCAGTGTCGAGACTATCTCGCTGCTTATATGTCTTAAGCTGCGGTATCCACAACGAGTCCATCTCATTCGCGGCAATCATGAATCTCGCGGGGTCACCCAGTCATACGGCTTCTACACCGAGTGCGCGCGGAAGTACGGCAATGCCAACGTGTGGCACTACTTCACCGATATGTTCGACTTTCTCACGCTGAGCGTGGTGATCAACGACGAGATCTTCTGCGTGCATGGCGGCCTCTCGCCCTCCATCCATTCCATCGACCAGATCAAAATCATCGACCGCTTCCGCGAGATCCCCCACGAGGGACCGATGGCCGACCTTGTATGGTCCGACCCGGACACAGACCGGGACGAGTTCTCCCTCTCTCCCCGGGGGGCGGGGTATACCTTTGGCGCGCAGGTCGTCAGGAAATTCCTCGAGGTCAACAGCATGTCCCACATCCTCAGAGCTCACCAGTTATGCCAAGAAGGGTATCAGGTGCTCTACGACGACCGGCTCAGCACGGTCTGGAGCGCTCCGAACTACTGTTATCGGTGCGGAAACCTCGCGAGTGTGCTCGAGGTCAGCGATACGGGCGAGCGGTACTTTAACATCTTCGACGCCGCACCCGAGAACGACGTGCATCGCAACGAGCAGCAGGCGCAGCAGCAGAACAAGGATGGCCCGAGTCCAGTGATAGACTACTTCCTGTGATGATACCCTTTGGCTTTTATTTTTCGTTTCAATGCACTTTATACGGAGTTTTTGGACGGACGGAAGATTCATCCTACGCATTCACAGGCGGACAGCGAGACTGGCTATTTGGCACCTGAGATACAGCATCTCCTGCAACGAATAATATCACCATGAAGAGGAAGAAGAGTAGAACACAAAAACGAAGGACTGCACATATCACAACCAGATTCCCGGACACGGGCTTTTCTCTTGTATCTTGTTTTGCTTGCTCGACTCAAAAAGGAGGAAGAAGAAGATATGTTACGCTTTGAAATAAACAAACACACATCGGCCGCTCACGAATTCAACGAATGACTGACTGACTGTCTCTACCAGTTCTTGGCAATGTCGAACGACCATTCAAACAGCAGGTGGGTGTGGTCGTCATCGTCGAGGAACTTGGACACGGCATTGTAGTGGCCACGAGCCATCATACCCGAGGGAGCCTCCTCCTCATTGACTGTCATGATGATTAGTTACCTCACCAAAGCAACGAAGAAGATTGACTTACACTTCTTCTCATACGTCTGCTTATCAGTCGTATTAGGCGCATAACTCCCCAACATCTCCTCGTCCTTGGAAACACGGATCCCCTTCCGCTTAACCACCTGCAGGTACTTAAGCCCACTCAGCACCTCGTGGTGCACCTGGAAGACGACCTTGATGCGGAACTGCGCGCCCTCTTTGATGGTGAACGGCTTGTTCTTGAGGTCTGCCAGCGCCCCCGCGCTGGACAGGTCGATCACCACGTCGGGCCGGTCTTTCACTTCCAACGCCAGGGACTTGATGATGCATTTGCGGGGGTCATTGGGGTCGCCGATTGGGGTGCCGGTGTTTAGACCCAGGGAGGCTTTCCAGCGGTTTAGGGACTCGTCGTTTTTGTCTGGTGGGGTGGGGTGGTGTTAGTTCGGGGATTGAACACCCACTGGGCTTGATAGATGGTAGATTGCAGACAGGGGTGTTATGGGATGATGCGTCGATACTCACCCAGCTCCTGGTACTCCTCCAGAGTCTTCTTCTCGCCAACCTTGAAGCCCTCGGTCTTGGTGGCAGCGAGATCGTCCTCGTGGTCAGGCATGGTGGGTGTTTGTTTGTGGCGGGGCAGAACCAAGAAGTAGCAAGTCTGGTTTGGGATTGGATGGGATGGGAGGTAAACAAACAGCAAAACTCGCTCGATACCGACGGGAGAGACAGAAGAGGAAAGATGAAACGGAGAGAAAGACAATACGAAGTTGTCTGCCTCCTGAGACTTGGTGGGGGGAAAGGCGGTGGGTGGGGATGGGCGAGGCTATTACCTGGGTTGGAAGTATACGTGTTGGCAGCGGGTCTAGACTGCGACACCATGGATTGTATTATCTCTTGACGGTATAGATTGGAGGCAAGACGAACATGAACTGACTATCATGCACGTTATATCTCGACCCTCGACGGATCATGCGGTGTACGCGGTATGTAGGTGAGGTAGGCCTGCAGCGAAGCATGCATGAATACACCCATGACAATCCTAGGTACGATGAGACGATCTTCTATTGTGATTCTAGACGAACCTGGATCATATGGAGGTGCCTCGCCGGAGGGCACTATACACACCGCATGGACGAACCACTCCTATCAGGGGTGCCGGAATGCCAAGTCGCGAGCCAACTCCGTATGGCCAATACCGGGTAATTCACACATTGACCAATCACGCCCATTCCACCCCGAAATACCCCAACCGGCCGGACCATGCCGGACACAGGCAAGCCCCAGCCCCATCATTTAGTTGGTTAATCCGTCCCCCATTCATTATTCCTTTTCCATCGCGCTCTCCTGATTAATCGTCCCTTGCCGCCCGCGACTTTGGCTTTCTTGTCTGGAGTCATCACCCACCGTCGCGCACGTTCTGATTGAGTTGCGCTCACTGCAAACCCTTCGGTGCTCACATTCGATTCGTGCCCGGGCCAGTCCACGGAGAGCGACAAGCAACGCGCCTGCAACGTGGCTGTCGCATCTTTTTCCCCTTGACCGTTTTCTCACTTCCCCCTCCCCTCTCCCTCAGACCACCTCGTTGCTCGCCATCCACCATGTCGCGCTCTCTGCCGAAGCGAAACAACCCTCTCATCCTCGCCGAACAGGCTCCTTCTTGTAAGTGCTTGCTTCCCCCTCCCCGGCGCGTGGTCGCGCGACCGCGCGTACCCACCCTCCGAGTCGAGCATGCCCTGTGCGACTCGATATGTCTCAGCAAGATGTCGCGGCTAATCACATTCACCTGCAGTCGAAGAGCTCCTCGCGCGCCGCCGTCTGGGGAAGACCAACCTCGCCGTCAAGGCCTCGTGGATCGGTACCTCCAATGCGACCAAGCCTGAGAACTTGGGTCTCTTTGAGTATGCCCACCTCCGGGCTCCGCTCCCTAAAGACCTCAAGGGCTCTGAGATCTTCCCATCCCACACCCCGCAGCAGCACCCCGAGACATACTTCCTGATGGTGAGTCGCCGCCCTACATTTCTTCCCGTGGAGGCATTCTCTCTAACGTGACGACAGCGGAGGAGCAAGGACGGATATGTCAGCGCCACTGGCATGTTCAAGATCGCATTCCCTTGGGCCAAGCTGGATGAGGAGCGCTCTGAGCGAGACTACCTCAAGACCCGGGAGAATACGAGTGAAGACGAGATCGCCGGCAATGTGTGGATCTCCCCCTGTTCGGTAAGCACATACCGTCTCCCCCGGCCATCCGCAGCAGCTGACAGACAGCTCCCAGCTCTCGAGCTCGCCAAGGAGTACAAGATGTACGACTGGGTTCGCGCGCTCCTCGATCCCACCGACATTGTCCAGAGCCCTTCTAGCGCAAAGAAGCATATCACACCACCGCCCAAGTTTGAGCTCCCGGAATCGGACGCCGTGCCATCTTCGATCTCCGCATCCCCGTCGCGCCGGAGCCGCCGGTCAGTCTCGCCCAGCAAGAAGTCTCCATCCAGGGCCCGCGGTTCTCGGGCCAAGAAGGAAGTCCCGCCTACGCCATCAACAACTGCCGCCAATGCCACTCTTCAGTCAGCTCTGAACATGGACGCAGAGTCTGTCAATGAGACTATTGAGAGTGTGGAAGAGGATATCGAGGCCAAGACCGTTGGGTCCCCGAAGAAGACCAAGGGTCGGAAATCTAAGAAGGATTCCACCGTGGAGCCTGAGGACAAGAAGGCAGAGAAGGCCGACAAGAAGAAGAAGAAGAAGGCCGAGAAGCATGATGATGCCAAGCCGAAGACCAAGACCGAGAAGACGACCGTTTCAGTTGATGCGCCGATCACCTTGCCCGAGGTCCCGTCTGCTGAAGAGACCAAGGAGATGATCGCCAAAGCGAAGGGAATGGTACAAGAAGCTATCAAGACCGACGGTGCTGCCGTGAAGTCAGCCTCCGCCAAGGTCACCAAGAAGCGCAAGGGCGAAGACCTCAGCGAGGACGAGGATGAGGAGACTGGGGCCGAGCGCGCGAAGAAGGCTAAGCTATTGGAAGATAAGCTCAAGCGCGAGCGTGTTCGCAACCGCGCGCTGGTTGGCGTTTCTGCCGCCTTTGCTCTAGCGTGAGTTCCCTACCCTTGACTTGGCTGATTTGTTTCATATTGCTAACAATATTTCTAGTGCTTCGATCCCCTATTTCTTCTAAAAAAACACCCCTCCACTCTTTTATCACCCACGGATCGATCGAGCGAGCCATTTTCGGAGGTTCATTCTTCCCTGGGAGAGTCATTTTCTTTCCAATATCGTTTTTTCCTAATACTGCAGTTGGTCACACCCTATCGCCTGCCTGCCTGCTTCAATGAATGAACAGTCCATCCGGTTATTTCCCCAGTCTTTCTTTTTGGTTGACCACACGGGAATCGATTCCCAGTGTCCTGTCCTGCTTCTGATCCCACCCTCACATTCCCCCTGTCGCGTCATGATATATATTCCTCCCCACAAGACTGAGTCTGTACTGTACTTTGACATCCAACACCACGTTCTAATATCTTGCCTGCCTCTTCCCTCCTGCTCTGTGAGCCCCGATCATCTATCTATCTATCCATCCCCTAACACCTTCCCCTTTTACCCGCTGTCCCCAACCCGGCAATCATTCTGGCTGATTGTTGCCCACTTCCCGGCTGTAGTCAAAACTGTCCCCCACTCACCGACCTTCGTTGTGTATCTAACTGTTTGGATACATAGATGTCCTTGAATAAGTGAATGGGTATTCGAATCAGTAATTCACGGTCCCAGGTATATGCTAGACCAAGTAGAGAAGTAGTGAGATATATAAACCTCCAGAACAGCTTACTGGATAGCTATAGGGTCAGCGATCTCACAATTTACTGTCCCGGATCCTGCTTGTATTGCCCGTCACCGCCGGCGAGTCCCCGACCACCACCCGCAGTCTTTCACAGAGAGGTCGGGTTGCAGGCATTCGGAAACTTCATTGCATTCGTCCTCTCAATCAAGAAAGACTTCCCGGTAACATTCGGATCGGCCGGGATGAAATTGTGAGGAAACCCCCGGTCGAAAGGCTTGACGCTCTCAAGGAGCGCAATTTGGTCACCCGTGAGCTTGATACTCAGTGCCTGGATATTGTCCCTCAGGTGCTCGACCTTGCGCCCGCCAACGAGAGGGAAAACATTTCCAGCTTTGGACAAGACATATGCCAGCGCAATAGCAGTAACAGACTCGATGCCGTGCTCCGAAGCCACCTTGCCCAGCGCCTCGCTCACGTTAACCTCGTCCTCGGTCTGGTGGGGAGGTCGTCCGGCAAAACTGCGCAGCTTCTCACCGGAATTCTCGCGGCTCTTGAGGTCGGCTTTGCTTTGGAATTTGCCGCCGCCGAGAACATCCCATCTGTTTTGGGAGCGGTGTTAGCTTCAAACGTGTAGCTATCTTGTCAAGGTAGGTATATAGGGGTTGGACACGCACGGTGCAAGGGCCATGCCAAAATGGCGGGCCATTGGGATGATATCGCGCTCAAAGTCTCTGTTTAACAGATTCCAGCGTCCTTGGTAAATACTGAAAGGCGTCTTTCCGTGGTCAATAGCGTAGGTATTGGCTGCAGAAACAATCCAGGCGGGTGTATCAGATGCTCCGAGATAAAGCACCTTGCCCTGCTCGACGAGAACATGTAAAGCATCCATGAGCTCCTTGATTGATGTAGTAAAGTCCCAGTAGTGGACGTAGTAAATATCTAGAAAGGAACAAAATAAGTAATGCTGCCCCCACAAGACAGAAAGTGGAAACTAACTCACCAATATAATCGGTCCGCAACTTCTTCAATGAGTCGCGGATTCCAACATGAATAGAGCGACGGGAATTCCCCGCAAAATTAGCTGCTGGGGTTCCCTTGCCTAGGACATGGCTGCGATAGTCCATACTGAACTTGGTAGCCAGGACCAGCGAGTCGCGGTTGTTGCGGGCTTGAATCCACTCGCCGATCCACTGCTCTGACTGCTCGTTCTGATACGAATTGGCCGTGTCAATGAAGTTGCCCCCGCTCTCATAGAAGGCATCTAGGAGTTTGAATGCTGAGTCCTTGTCCATTGAGCCCATCATGCCGGCCCAGGCGTCGCCAATCGACATGGCGCCTAGTTGCAGAGGGGAGACTCGAATGCCAGCTGTGGAGGAGAGGATGCGTAGACGGCCGAGTTCGGTAGTGAGAGTTGATTCAGACATTGTATAGATATTAAAGGATGTGAAACAAGCAAGTTCTCGGATTTGTCAAGAGATGTGTCTAGTTAGAGTAAGTAAGAGGGCGTCCATGTCGGGGTTTATATAAGTTAGGGATCATCTTTCAGCAATTAATAGCGCTACCGGAGATAAAGACTTAAATGTAAGTAACCGGCCGTAAAGCTGTATGTCCATGGAAGTGCATTAGCACCACCAACAACAATATAGCTCTTGTAGTATAGATCAAGTGTGTCCCACTTGGCGTCGAAATGCTGCCCCAAAGGGGTTAGCGCATGAGCTCCAGATGCTTAGTCATGGCCCTCTTCAAACAGCTCAGACTTCATTGAAAGCACATCTCTGACCAACCTCAACGAGCAATGTCTCTCCCGGGCTTAGACCTCACTCAGGTCTCGGAGGAGAAGTCCTCGGCCGTTGCGCCGCCGTCGCAGATCACCCTGTCGCCGGGCACGGAGTGGAGGTTCGAGGTCGCGTTTGGCAATATCGTGAGAGTCAAGGTGCGTACAATCCAATTGGCGATTCAGAGGGTGGAGAGCTTTCTGAGTGGAGAGCCTTTTCCGGCTGGCTTATTGGACAAGGCTCTGGGGAACTTACAAGTACAAGGAACCGCTGACCAAACTTCAATAGCTTCTCACAGGAACCGCGGAGCTCTTCGGTACAGAGCTCGCCGAGTCGCAGACATACACTTTCACTGGGACCAAGGCGGCAATCTACACATGGCATGGGTGCATGCTGGAGATTAGCGCGGGCGAGATGGCTCTGACGACAGCGGATGGAGGGGCGCCGACAACGGGCCATGGTGCCGGGGGATGTCAGAGCGAGTACACAGCGGAAGAAACGCCAATGGTGGAGTACGCCAACGTCCACTTTGCGCTGGAGACGATGCGCCAGGACGCGCAATCCACAGGCAAAGATGGACCTCGCGTGTTGCTTCTGGGCCCCGAAAACGCGGGCAAGACCAGTCTGGCGAAGATACTGACGGCATACGCGACCAAAGTCGGCCGGCAGCCGCTGGTGGTGAACCTGGACCCGACGGAAGGCATGCTCAGCGTTCCCGGTACGCTGTCTGCCACGGCTTTTCGCACTATGCTGGACGCTGAGGAGGGATGGGGCAGCAGCCCGATGTCTGGACCGAGTCCCGTGCCGGTCAAGCTTCCTCTCGTTTACAATTACCCACTACCCAGCCCTCTGGATGCCGAAGGATCGGTCTACCGACCTGTTGTATCGCGGCTTGCACTGTCAGTGACGGGTCGAATGGCCGAGGATGACGACGCGCGCGAGGCGGGCATTATTGTCGACACTCCGGGGTTGTTGAGTTCCGGCAAACCTGGCAGCCTGGAGCTGATCAACCATATTGTCACCGAATTCGCCATTACCACAATCTTGGTCTTGGGGTCCGAGCGGTTGTACAGCACGATGGTCAAGCAGTATGACAATAAGCCTAGCTCAAGCTCAACGGCCGTTGCCTTTGATGAACGCATTTCTGTCGTCAAGCTCTCCAAATCTGGAGGCTGTGTCGACCGCGATGCCGCTTTTCTTAAAATAATGCGCGAGTCGCAGATCCGATCTTATTTCTTTGGAAATCTGATCCCATCATTCACCGCGTCCACAGCCTTGGCGCTCTCTGCATCTTCGACCTCCATGGTGACATTATCACCACACGCACAGCAACTTGACTTTTCCACCCTCAGCGTCTATAATTACACCATTACCTCTGTCGACGACGAAGACGAAGACGAATACGACCCCTCCCAGCTCACCACCAGCGACTCTTTCCTCCCCGGCGGCGGTGACGACGAATCCCGGCAACAGCAGCAGCAGGAACAATACGACCCTGATCGTGCTGCACCGCTACCGGGTATCGTCGGCTACGCACCTGCACCTCCAGCCCAAGCATCCACAACCGCCAGTAACGTCCCGCTGAAAAAGGTTCTACCTCCCGCCCCAGCTGCCCTGGCGAACACCCTCCTCGCAATCACCCACGCCCCAAACACAGCGTCGCCAGCTGAGGTTCGCGACGCCAGCATCATGGGCTTCTTGTATGTTGCCGACGTCGACCCGGACAAGGGCAAGATTCGCGTCCTGGCTCCTGTCGGCGGCAGGATGCCTCCGCGTGCTATCATTTGGATGAAACGCTGGCCGGGCGAGGTGGTCGGCTTGGTCGGTTAAATCAATTTTCTTATGATTGTTACCAGGCATCATTATACCGGGGACTGGAGTTCAGGCCGGGGGCTGTGTATGTATATAATTTCGTCCTTTTAGCATCCGGGTCCTAGTTACGGAATCTCATACAGACAACGTTCTCTCTGCTTTGTTGTACTTGTCTCATCTGCACTTTTGTCTTTCCTCGAGTATCTGTCCTGCGAGACTAGGCAGTTACCAAAACATCCCATTCAGCGAACACGCATTCGGTTCTCTATCAGTAACTGGTTGAGTGGGTAATATCTTTCATCTGCTCCATATCCTTGCGGGAGAATCAGGAGCAGATGAAAGTGATGTTCATGAAGACATCTTGCAAAGAGATGTGGGTATACCGCGATTGAGGTAGCGAAGTTTCGAAATCCCATGATGCGAAGACGGTTTTGATTCTAGTGAGGGAAAGGCAGAACGTGTCTAGTATGAATGGAGAGGAATCCTCTAGTTGACGGTATTTTCATATATTAATGCTTATCTTATTTCCTTAGACTCGTAGGTTTTCGCCCCCAGAGATGGTTGACGATGTGGAAATGGAAGTTGAAAAAGCAGCTGAGGAACCTATTCTTCCCTACTTTCACAATAAGAGGATGATGGATATCACTATAAGGGCCCAAATAAATATCTAGTGGATTGATTTTCGCTAACTGGGGGATCTTAGTTGGCAACGAACCGGCGCGCGGGCTTAGGCAGAATGGCGATAGCAAGTGACGCATGGCTCAATTGTGTCGGCGTATTGACTTGCGAGATAATTTACATTTCCATTCTGTTCCGGAGGAATGGTTTGCTAACTGAGTTTGGACTAAGTAGTTTCACCATCGTCTTGGCACTAGGATTTGGGAGAGTTTCCGTGTGTAAATTCATGGAAGCCTATTCCGAATTTAGTTGTAGCAGTAGGCCATCAGCAACTCCTAAAACCCGAATTCTGCCTACATCCTATCACCATGGTTTACCGGGGCAAGCCCTCGAGTGCCTGTAAACTCTGCCGCGAGCGGCGGATCAGAGTAAGTAATGTCCTACTCACACGAGTTCGTGCTGATCTAGACGACCTTAGTGCGACCAGCGTCGCCCATCCTGCACACAATGCCTCAACGCGAAGGCCCAATGCAACGGCTACCGCAACAAGCTAGACCTAATGTTCCACAACGAGACCACTGATGTGACCCGGAAAGCCAAAGAAGCATGTTCCAAAAAAGCAGACGAGAGCATAGCACTCGCCCTCGCATCAAAGTCACGCTCACCATCATCGCAGAGCCAACCCCCATCACCAGCAGCAGCTCTGCTACTGTCGGAATCTCCCACCTCCAGAGCAATCAATCTGTTCATGGCCGCCTACGCCGGGGGAATCTACCTCGACTACGTGTCGGCGTTATATCAACCAGACCATCATCCCGCGGCGCTGGGGGCGAGCGTCGAGGCCGTCGCACTGGCTTGTTTGGCTACTGATCAGAAAAGTTCTGATCTGCTGCATCTGGCAAGGGAGAGGTACGGCACTGCCCTGGTGCAGACGACGGATGCGCTTCACAGCACGAAAACGGTGACTGAGCCAGAGACCCTGGCGTCGGTGATGCTACTTGCGCTGTTTGCTGCTATTGGGACCCCTGATTCCCCTGATGCGAAGGATTCGTGGTCAAAACATGTTTACGGGGCTCTGGGGGTTCTTGCGTTACATCTTCATTCTTCTCTTTCTTCCTCCTCTTTCTCTTCTTTCTCTTCTTCTTCTACTCCTGATTCCGCATTTACTACTTCGGTAGACACGTCTAGGTCTACCCCCTCGCGCATTTTAGACTCCCTACCGGGACAGAGCATGCTCCACCACATTATAAGCTGCGTTCAAATTGACTGCATCCAGCGACGCGCACGGCTCCCGCCGCAGCTGCGAGCTGTATATCGTCATTCATGGTTGAATCACGGACTGCAAGCCCGGTTCTGGAGGCTGCTTGATAGATTCTCCGAGGCGAATGCTTATTCCAATGAAGACCGAGACACCCTTGCATATTTGGCAGACCTACAGTGTCTCGAGGATGAAGCTCGCTTTCTACTGGAAACCATGCCTGCTGCGTACGAGTCGTGGTTTGGTGCGAGAGGTGGCTCCTCGGATACGAATGCACACCCAGATCCTTGCTTCTCTGCCGCCTGCCCTGGCTACCGCACAACCCAGACGTGGAACATATTGCGCATGATTCGTCTATTGTCAGATGATTTATTGGTCGCTAGTACCACACGCTACCTATCATCGCACGCAGATATCCCAGATGGGGTATTATCTACGCTACACAGTAATATGGAGAATGCATCCCACGCCGCAGCAGATATGGCCCATGATATGTATAACAGTGTACCTGAGTATTTGAGACCTGGTCGTTGCTCTACCTATCATCCACCGCGTGGGTTGCAGGAGAGTCAATGGGCACGCACGCTGTCCTGGCCGCTAACAATGGCACGCGACTCACCACACTGTCCACCGGTTTTGCGGGCAGATATCCAGAGCCAATTGGTGATTCTTGGTAATGATTCTGGTATGTGTCATGTGCGGAAGGGGACGACGGCGTCGAACTTTAGTGGCTCTGTCGGGGATAGGTAAGCCATTGCTTCATGTAACTCTTTCATATCGAGGGCTCTTTATACTGACATGCTGCAGTAATATGCATATGTCGTTCTTATCCTAGACTGGGATGTTTTTTGTAAAAAAAAAAAAAAAAAAAAGAATTAAAATGCAACATATAAAAAATATAGAGTACGTGAAAATATATATGTGCAAGCACTCTATGGATAGAAAAAGAAGCCCAAAAGCTGACACAGTAAAGGGAACACACACAGACCACGATTTCACTCCCTCCTCAACCTAACATCAAAAGCCGAAAGTTCCACCTCCTCCACCGGGGCGTCACCCTGCTCTCTCCAGAAAATAACTTCATTAAGCGGGACACCAGCATAAGCAAGCGGGTCAACATTAGAAACGCAATAATCATCCCAAACAGTAGACGGATTAACAGGAGCATCATAGTCATCGATGACATTAATAAAGCGCCAGACCTCGCCAACATGGCCATCAGCTGAAGTCCTGGAAAGGAACGTCGGCTGTAGAGCGAAGTAGATTCCGGAAGAGACCCCACTCTTTTGTCCGACTAGGGGCCCAAGTGCGGCGAGCACGTCTGTTGAGTTGGAGACCAAGGACGAAATGTGTAGTGCACGCGGGGTGTTTTGGGTTAGCATCATGGAGGAGTTTAGCGCGGTCCCGCCAGCAGAATGGAAGGTATAAGTTCCTGCGTAATCCTTCTTCAATTGCGCCTCTGCAACATCCTCGGCACCCAATACTAGTGGATTGAGGATTGAAGTAAAAATTGTTGTCTGCGAGGGCAGATTACCACCCATAGCCATGAACACCACCAGATCGTACGCGGGAATGACGATGCTGTAACTATAATACCCCGTCAGCCCACCTCCCTTGGTGTAGAATGTTACGGGCCGTCTGCTGTTTGGAATGAGCGAAGTCGTCCGGAAGATCTCCCATGGATAACCAAGTGTCGAGTGCGAGCCCGTGCTCCAGGTTGCAGGTTGAAGCCAGTTTAGACGAGGGGTTATGGAGTTGTAGTTGTTGAGGATCCAGCGAAGGAAGGTAATCATGTTTGAGGATGTGCTGTAGATACCACCGCTCCTATTTGTTTGGGTGTATGTTAGCATCGATGGAGTAGATAACTATGTTAAAGGAAAGGGCAGTACGCACGCATTATCGGCACCCAGGTTCTCGCCCCATTGACTTTCTGGGCCGATATCCACGCCCGCAGAGGATGATGGAGTCGTGAATGAAGTGCCTTTCAGACCAAGGGGATTGAGAATAGCTTGCGAGATATACTCCTCATATTTCATACCAGACACGCGGGCCAGGATTTGCCCTAGGAGATCGTACGCATCGTTGCTGTACGTGGACTCACTCTGGGCTGGGAAAACAGGGACAGAGTGCCGGATTGCGTTGTTCAATTCTGTAAATGTCAGGGTCATGTTTCAGATAATGGGTGTGCGTACATACCTGAATCAGTGCAGGATCTTGAGTAGTTGTCGTACTCATTACATTTGGGTAAGGCTTTGGCGCGAGAGGCAGAAATCGGTGGCAGACCGACGACAGTGGGATCCTCAAGTTGGAGGTAGAGATCATTATCGCCATCTAAGTAAACCTGGTAAGAATTCGGGGCAAAGCGTTATTGGAAAAGCACGCACAATTGTCAGGAATACCACTCAGATGAGCTAACAACGAGCGAATGGTAATTCTCTCCCAGTCAAATCTGGTCTTATTCATCGGGAGTTTGGGGATATGCTCAACTACCCGATCATCCAGACTAAGTTTGCCAGCCGCTTCTTGCTGGAGAATGCCCAGAGCCGTGAAAAGCTTGGTGTTGCTAGCAATGCGATACACCGAGTCTCCATTCACCCTAGTCTTTTTCAAAGATTTGTCCGTGTGGTACTTTGAATAGAGTGTCTTCTGGGAAGAGGAGATCTCTAGTGAGAACGAGGTCCCCTTAAAATCTCCCGCCTTGATGGCCTTGTCGAGGTTGGATGTGACGGTCTTGAAGGCATCTTGCAAAGAGGTATCAGTATACCGGGGTGGAGGGAATGAGACTTCGGGTTCGCACGATGCGGAAACGAGGTTGATTCCGGTGAGGGAAAGGCAAATAGTGCCTAGAATGAACGGAGAGACAACCATGGTTTACGGAAAAGAGGATTGGAATTGTATCTTATGAATCGGGTTGTTCTAGCAGCCATGTCGCGTCTTTTATGTTGAGGCCCATTGTTGCGCAGAGTATAGGCTGCCAATTCCACTGGTGATGAGAAGCATTCTAGAATAGGAATCCAAATCGTGGGGCGGAAGGACTCAGCCTCGAGGGTGGAGTATATAGTGTAGCGGCCCGGCCCTAATGAGATGCATACTGGATTAGGAAAGGCGTCGGCCAGAGTACTTGAAGTGGCAAGAAAGCCCAACAACAATCTCATTATTGGCCAATATTCATCTACTAGGCTTCCGTCGGATCTGGCAGCACAAAATATTATTATAGATGCGGAACACAATGTGACCGGGTGAGTAGAAATTCCAATATGGTGCGGTCAATTCTAAGTAGTCAAGGATCATCGATTAGGCTTTCTGTCAAAAGATGCCTTTCCAATTAGCGGCCAGATTCCCACGATTTCTACATCTCCAGCATCTACCACCAAGTTCCGTTCTTCAGAAAGATCGCGAAACATACATCGCATCGCTTCAGTCCCAACCGTCGCAATCGGTGTCATGGATGACTCGTCCTGTCTTCGAAAGATATAGATTTTCGGATGTGCTTTCTGGAGTCGATCATAAGCAAAGGGATGCATCGACAGTTAGCGCGCAACGGGTGGAAGCTTCCGTATTGCGAATGATCTAGTAACGAGAGAGGCAACGACTTAATGGTTCATCGCATTTGGTAAAGGGTAGAAAATGTCGTTTCAAGAGTCACGTTTGTTTTGCCTCCGTAATTGTCAATCAGCCAAATTGATGGGAAGCACAGGAACATATATGTTCGTAGATAGATCTCCCAGGATGAAACATGGGCCTGAAATGATCAACAGGGCATAATGAGTGTATGGGGATTGAACATCGGACTCTGAGACATCGGGTCAGAGTCCTAATGGGCACATTAGCCCTAATGAGTCGCATACTGTTTAGAGAAGGCATTTTTATCTGGCATCAGAAAGCCCCAAGATGTATCATTGACCAATGCAGCGCCTAAATAAAACCCTTTCTAATGATGCAACCCCGATAGCCATCCTCTTCGATGCTCCCGGACCGCCCAACCAATCCAACCCAACCCAGGAAAACGGGTATAATCGCTAAAATAAAAGCCAAAATATTCGCCAAGTGCCCAAAAAAAGACAGAATGCCAATCACAGCCGGCGGACTCCAATACGGGGCTTGGGCTTGGCTGCACCGGAAGAGACCTTGCGCACTCCAGCAGCCACTTTCGATACCTTCGGAGCAGCCGAGGATGCAAGAGACGAGGCGAGTCGTGGTTGAGCACTTCCTGTTGACAGCGGTGTAACTGTCTTGGCTGTCTGGATCTCGCGCTTCTCTTTCAATCCGATAACAGCTAGCGGGTTCTCCTTGCCGTCACCACTTAATCGGCGTGATGCGTCTTGGGTTGAGAATTCAGGAACATCCTCGTAGATCTGGAGGTCATCCCGAACACGACTAGATGCGTTGAGACCTCGGTTGAGAAGGGATAACTTGATCTGCTTCCGTTGCGGGGAGCCCGGTCGACTGGTGTTGGCTTGGATGTTTTGTTCCGATGAAGACATGCACAGCGAACCCATGTCCTCTTCTTCGTCCACGAGCATCATATCGCTATCCGGATATTCGGCATACGGTACCGGGAGGGAGGAAAGCGGGCGCTTCCCCAGAGCATTCTTCCGAGGACTTGGCGGTGCGAGTCTCACCGGAGTCGGAGAGAGAGAGGGGTCATTTTCTTTGCTTGCACTGGCCGGATCTTCGTTCTCGCTGTCGTCGTCTGATGGCATAGCGAAGCTATCCCCAGCAGGTTCTTGGGTCGGGCCAGTCGCACGAACGGTCGTCTTCATGGTCACCGTCTGTATGCGCTGCTCTTTCCGTGGTCGTTGGAAACCTGTATTGTCCTTCTCCTCAAACACTGCGCCGGCATCCTCCCCTCGAAGCTTGGCCTCTGTGACTGCATCCTTGAGGTCGGCCGAAATAGGTGCATGGATAGATGTCATCAATCGAGCCTGGTGAGCAAAGGCATTGTAGTCTTCTTGCAGCATTGCACCCGCAGTGGAATTGAGAGCTGAGTCGGGGTTGGGATGGATAAGAAGACACGAAATGGTCTGCATCAGGAACACGGTCATTGTTAGCTTTGACTTTTGGATTGTTTGGGCGCAAATACTGACCACCAACACGTCCTTCAATGTCAACTTGGGTTGCCAGTCCCTCTTCAGCGTGTCTACACACACTGCGCCCGTGAGCTCCTCCATGTTGGGGTGCCATATGCGCGTCTTGAATGCGGCCTTGGGCGGGCTGTGTGGGTAGTCCTCTGGCATGCGCAAGTGGAGGCGCCACAGACCCTGTGAGTAAGGTGTACCCGGTGGTCCGGTGAGCAAGACCGTCAGCTGGGAGAGGTCGTCGGTGGATTCGTTGCTGGGCGGGAGGAGATAGTAGGGTGGAAGACCGGCGCTGTGCAGGGCGGCATGGTCCGCGGCCAGCCGGCGAAGGTTGGACGGCTGATGGGAGAGAGGATTAGCATATATGACCCAAGGGGTACTAAGTAGAACTCACCATTCTAAGGATGAGATAAGAGTTGGGAATGTTTTTATTGCGTGAAGATCCAGCGTTGCGTTGGTTACGTGGGTTTGTTTTGGTCGGGTTACGCTAGTCCGGATTAGTCACGCGTCGGTCAGGTGATGTGGTTTCGCGTTTCGCGAAACTAATTTATCCCTTTTTAGAATTAAGTTGATTGATCGGTTGATTACATGTCCATGCCCATTATTGGTTATGATTAAGTGCAAGAAAGAAAGGAAAACAGTTCATAGCCCCTCGTCCCAGATTTTGCCAGTTTCACACTTTACAGGAAAGCAGCCAGGGCGGCCAGACCAACCAGACCCAGAGAGCCAGCGGTGGCCAGGGGCGCAGCGTTGGTGGTGTGGGTTGCACTCGCCGAGGCAGAAGCCGACTGGGAGTTGGAGTTGGAGTTGGAATTGGAGTTGGAGTTGGGGTGAGTCCCAGTGTGGGTAGCACCACTGACCGTGGCAATGGAAGTCGTCTGCGTGTTGGACTTGACCGAGGTCATGGTCGTCTGGCCAGGCTGGCCGGCAGCGGGAGTGGACATGCCAGCGGGGATCGAGGCAGCGGGCTCCTGCGAGGTCACAACGGCGGGCTCGCTGGTCACGACAGCGGGTTGCGAGGTGACAGCCTCAGGTTGGCCGGTAACAACACCATTGGAGTTGGTCTCGGTGAGGTACTTGGTGGCTGGGTTGCCCTATCAGGTCGGTGGTTAGATTGCTTTTCTGGGTCGTACAGCGACTCCGAGACTTACATTGTCGGCAGTGTCGGCGGCGATGGCGCCCTGGGCCAGCGCGAAGGCCGAGAGAGTAGCGAAGAGGATGGAGGTACGCATGGTGGAGTTGTGGTGGGTGGGACTGAAAGAATGTAGATCTGACGATCAAGAGGAAAAAGTGTGGGGAGGGGATGGATGTAGTGGGAGTGGAAGAACAAGAGGAAGAAGAAAAACGAAGACAACGATGGCGTGTCTTATACCCCAGGCAGGCTGTGGGAAAGGCACTAGCCGGTCTAACGCTGCAAGGCAAGGTCGGTTCTATTTTTGCTTGGTCGCACTGGCGCGTAAGCTGCTTTTGGATGTATGTTTCCCTGATTCTTGTCTCAGTCCCTACTAGTGTCCCAGTGATTTATTCGGGGTTATCTGGCCCGGTACATTCTTCTCTGAATGTCTAGTAGAAATAATAATAACCCCTCTTCTACGGCTCTCCTAACAATCATCCAAGCCCTGCAGTGATCGCCACCCCGAAGCTTGCTTGCCTGGCCACCTCTTGGCAGACCGCGTGTATGTCTACGAATCCTCTCTCACTACTCATCCACTTACGGCGGCTGCGCTGATGATCATGATGCATTTACTAATAACACAAACCCTTTTGTCTGGTCGGGGGATGAGACCGCCAAGAGTCGAGACAGCGCCTCCCGCCGCCCAAGTGAGACATCACTTTTCCTCATTGATCGATGCAAGGGTACGAGTCCCTACATGGTACAAGTCGGCTGATTATGAGGGTACCTACATTAATCATCATAAGGAGTATACCCACCAAATTAATCTCGGTCTTTAGCCTTTTTTTGTTTTTTTGTGTGTTTCGCAAGGGGGTCCGTGTATAATACCTAGCAGTGGGCCCCCGTTCCCCAGACCACTGTAAAACCATCCAAGCGGATCTTGTCTTTGGTGCCTGGTGCCATTGCCACCCTCGTGTGAGCCTCGGTGCGTGTGGAACATTCGGCTGACCGACCGCGGTCCCTGCAGGGCCATCATGAGTAACTTGCCATCCGGATTGTGCAACGCCTGCCACGTACCACTCAATGATGCGGGGGCAAGCAAACCGGCTGGGCGGTGGCATCAACTAAAAGCGTAGAACAATACAGCAATATTCAAATCAGATATACTATCATACTTTCACGTATTAGTTCGCGGACCCTAACGTGGGTCACCGATATGGTAGAGCGGGCGACTCCATATGTTTCTAAAACTAGGTCCTGTATTTCACATAACTTGAGACGTCGATTATGTATTTTACACCAAATTGCTATACCTGATCCTCTTGAGACGTCGCTCGCGTAGCTTGCCTCAGACTAGTCGAAGCAGCGAGATCACTAACTGTGGTGGTAGATGCATCATTTCGTCCAGCTGATGCACGTCGGACTTAGCGGCACGCACTCTGGACCAATTGGTGAAGGCTCCGGGGAAGGTGACGGGCCACTTAATGAATAGAATCGCACGTCTCTATTCTCTGAATCGAGGCCAACTGCAGATAATCTGCGGGTAGATGACATCAAATTTGGCCGCTCGGAAATTTGAATGTAATAACATAACGTTCTATTATGAAGTCATAGCATAACGTTATCTATCCTAACATAACGTTACGAAAGTCGAGCAGGAGCCGAACAACTGTCTACAAAGATAGGGAGATGGCCATCTCTCCTTAGAGAGGATTTAGTTGGCATTCACTTTGCGGCCCTACCATTTGAATCCATTTCATTCTTCTCAATATGAGACTTGAAGGAAAGATAGCGATTGTCACCGGTGCCTCCCGCGGAATAGGTGCCGGTATTGCCTATGAACTAGCAAAGCAAGGAGCAAAAGTACGGATTCTTTTATGTGAAGGCAGCTAACAATACTGATACGCATTCCATAGGTAGCTCTGACTTATACGTCTGCAAGCAGCGAGAGTCTAGTGGATGAGCTTTGTTCTAAGATCAGCAGCCTCAATAATGGCTCCGTTGCTGCAAAAGTCAAGGCCGACCTTCGAGAAGCAGAAGCGCCAGGACAGATTATTGCAGCGACACTCCACGCATTTCCCACGACACACAGAAAGATTGACATTCTTGTGAACAATGCTGGTGTTCCTATGTGCAAAGACCTAACCGATACCTCACGACAGGACATTTCTGCCGTCTTCGATGTAAACGTATACGGCACAATTCTCATGACGAAAGCGATGATCCCACATCTGCGTGCTCCTGGCCGCATTATTAACATTGGTTCAACCGCCGCTCGCCTCACCACAAGTGGTTTCTCTGTGTATTCTGCTTCGAAGGCTGCTATTGAAGGATTTACTAGATCGCTTGCTTATGAGCTGGGGTCGTGGGGTCATACAGTCAATGTTATTGAGCCAGGAGCAGTGGAAACCGACATGTTCCGGGAGATTCCAAAGGATATAGTGACATATATCAAACAGAGTACGCCGTTGGGGAATCGGGTGGGTATGCCAGAGGATATAGCGGGGGTAGTGGCTTTCCTGGCCGAGGAGAGGTCAGGTTGGGTGACGGGTCAGTGCATCTCAGTTAGTGGGGGGTTAACTATGAATTGAACCGTACAACTGAAGGAGAGGTTCAAATCGCGGAGGCTAAAGAGCCTGTTCTCTAGGCTTTTTGCAAGTGCGCGCGGTCGGTCTGATTTTATAAGCGGGAGGGGCAAATGGTTATAGTACCCATCAGAGTTGCTCGGATTGGGTCGAAAGTGGCTATGAAGGCATAATCGCATCATCGACAGGCTCTTGTTTGAGAATCTAACTGCTCCATGAGCATTATCTGATAAATTTATACATGGATGTAAGAATAGAACACAACCGTTAAGAAAGACAGATGGATTTGTTCATTATCTCACGTAGTAGAGACCGAAACGTCGTTATGTAGTCGTACATGCGTTTGTACAGTGACATATACCCAAGGGTTTCAGGGTGGCAGACAATTAATTGGCAGTGCCGAAATGAAAGAAAAAAACCTTCGCCGGTGAGCATTGGCTGTGAGGTTTTGGGCGCAATCGCCGCAGCCAATCTTGTCGAGTTTGCTCGCGAGATTGGCCCTGCTGTGCCTGAGTGCGGTGGTTCCAACCTAAAATTTTGGCAGGTACCGGCCTCTCTTCGACAGGACCAAAATACTCCAGACTGAGGCGCAGTCGAAGAGTGGTCTGACCAGATGGGTGGGTGTAGAATCTCCCGGTGCAGCATGGCGCAGACAGTGGGCTTTCCTCAGATTGGCTCAACCGACGACGCAATCATCCCTCATGTGGTCAAATCGAAACCAGCGTGGATTGCTTCCGGGGTAACTTAGATGCTTGAAGGGCAGTCAAACTTAATCACGTCGATAATTGGGGGGTAATGTGATGAAACGTACGTTGTGCTGGTTTTGATGCGTGATCATCAGTCCGATTTTTTTTTAGAGGTGAACGTCTGCTAAGGTGTGTTTAATTAATGGACAAATCGAATCACATCGACCATTCATGGGGGGATGAACTGGGTTGAAATCGCTTCTTGCAATGTATTTGATGGGCGATCAAATTTAAACCCCCAAATCATTCCTGAGGTGCTGAAATGGGATAAAATGGCGTGTTGCAATGCGATCTGACGGTCACGTGGTGAAATTAAATCACTCTGGTCAGTGAGTTTTTTTATAGAAGAGAGCCTGTCATAACCCTCAACCATGGTCTGCTTCTGTCCCAATGCGGTGGATGAAAGGTGACATCATCACTCGCCACGGTTCGGGAAACGCTAGGACGACAACACTGACCTTCAGATTTATGTACCTTAAACACTGCGAGCCCAATGTGAAATGAAGAGACGAAATTACAACTCCTAACTGCGCTGCATCCTGTCGCGTTTCCACGAGAACATGCTCGTCACGCGTGTTGAGCGTCCCGACTATGAATAACTCGCTCCAGAAACGCGGGAACTTGGATTCGATCAGTCTAACCACACAGATTCTCTGCTTTAGTATCCTAATACCTCTGGTGGCTTTAAGGTTCTTTGCCAAGTTCAAATTACGTCTCCAGTTCGGACTGGAAGATGGTATGTGCCCAATCCAAGCCGTTCCTATCTCAACTAACTGAGGCAGCATCATGCTGTGCGGCATTGGTATGAATCCACTAGCTTAATATACACCTATTCTCGCATATAAACCTAACACACATCAGATCCTGTTTATGGGTCATTGTATTTCCACAATATTCTGTGAGATACCTACCTCGATCTAGCTTGTTCAATCATATCGCTAACAGATTTTCAATTCAGTCGTTTACTCTGGAGGACCCATTTCTTCCAACCCCTCCACAATATGGGATCGTGAACGCAAATACAAAGTATGCTCACGAGCGAAATCTTCCTACGCAATTCATACTGACAAATAAGATATTTTATATCGCTACAATGTTCTATGTCCCTATGGTGTTTTTCGTCAAAGCCTCCCTCATCTACATCATGATTCGGGTATGGAGACCATACCGTGGGAAGATCATATCCTTATACACTCTCCTCCTTTTCATTTTAACGTACTACACGGTTATCTTATTTGTCAAGATCTTCGTTTGCAACCCTATTCGTGCATTCTGGGACGTTAATCTGTCCGGCAAGGCATGCTTGAATCGATCCGCCATCATAATCACCGACTCGTCCATTAGTGTCATGACTGACTTGGCCATTCTAATTTTTCCTATCACTTTGGCGTCAACTTTACAAATGCCTCTTTCCAAGAAGCTACATGTCATTGCACTCCTGGGAGCGGGAAGTATTGCCATCGCTTTCAGTATCTACCGATTGGTGCTGGTCATCAGCGGAAGACATGACTCAGATGAGATTGAATTGTTCCTGAGAGTTTTACTATCCGAGTAGGTTTTGTTTCTTTTTTAGTCTCGAATGGTATAGTTATTTCTAATACATCGATGCAGCAACGGAGAAGGCGGATTGGGACTTATCTGCACTTGCATTCCAGCAATCAACAAACTCATCGGTCATTATAGTGACAAATGGAAGCAGAGAAACAGAGAGAAACGGGAGCAAAATGGGCTCTGCGCTGGCTTGAAGCCCGGTCAAAATTCTGATGACGATACACATGTACCAGCGTCAAGTTTACCGGGTACATCGGGTCGAGAGTCTTGTGCCTCCACAGTTTAGTTTTTCTAAGGATTCTGTTTATGTCTAAGAGAGGTTCACGCAAGTCGCTCATGCATGTATCAACTATGATTAGAATTTTTGTCGATTATTGAAAAATCCTGGCAGAGTTGTTTTTTCCCCCAAAATCCCGGCCGAGTAAATTCTTCTAGTAGCTTCTCAGTTAGTCTTTTGTCCCACGAGGATTAGCTAGCATGCCTTTTCCGCATCCGCTATGCTATTCTTGTGACTGATGGTCAGCAGTAACTAGTTAACTAGATAATACAGAGTACGTATAGCGCTTTAAGTCACAGCATGGGTGGTCGCTTACTCTAATCATATTTTAAAGCATATCAAACCCCAGTTTGCCCCCTAACAACAATGCACGGCTCCCATTAACAAGTAAGACTGGCGTATATGCTATCATTGTACGTCTACACGAAGAATTGCATGTTTGGGACTGCGTTCCTGATTGAGTCTGAAAGCAATAGTATATATAGATAAAAAGGCTCATTGGCCCATCTCTTTCGCCGTCGGTTTGTTCAAGTTTGTTGTATAACTTCACTTGCTGACCCTACCACACCATCATATGCCCTTCCAGCTACCTACGCTTCTGACTCTTGTCACCGCTGCATCTGCTAGCTGGATGATAGGCGGGTACATTCAAGCAGGCTGCGGCGCAGATTACGATGATGACGACTGGGGAGATGACAATGATAGTCCCAGAATCCCCAAAACTTCCTAGAAGATTCATCGGTACCCCATCCGCTCCGCTTCGGGGACCTACATGAGGGGTAATATAGATTTATATACGGGCCAAATGCACTGACCCAGAATTGGTAGAGTTGGAGTCGACGAGGGACTGCACCGACTACACCCATGTCGATCAATTTGCGGGCTCCATGAGATCGATTCTCTACTGGGGTAATTACACTGGGCTGTAGCCGACCTAGGTAAGTTTTCTGAGGCTGTTTGATTTCTATATCGGCTTATCCATTGCTCACTCTCCTTTAAAACTGCTGTAGGGATTTTTCCAACCTGATTCATTTTCCCAAAGAATCTCATACCAGAGATAGCTTTACAATGATCAACAGAGGCTTGGAGTCTGATGAGATTGTGTGATTTGTTATGGATCCCGCTAGCGACATGACCATCTTGTAAAGTGTTCTTCCTGTTAGATATAGCTTCCCTTTGTACTCATGTAGCATAATCAAATTATCCGTCTAGCATATCCACCATTCCTGGGCCTTTCAAAGTCCCTTAGAGATCCTCAGGTTCCCTATTACCTTAAATCTTGCCATTTTGTTTAGACGTAAATAATACAAACGTGGGTCAGTTCTTCTATACGTAATGAAGTGAAGTACACAATACTACATAGTAGAAAGAAATCACTCCTTGGTCAAGGCATCCTGTCCCCGAATCCAATCCGCAAATTCCTTGCGCTTAGCCTACCACCCCGATATCGTCAGCACAATCGTGGCCTTTTATGGCAAAAGGGAAAAAAAGACTCACCCGAATATCCCAAAACCCATACCGCTCCTCAAGCCCCATATACGGGTTCCGCGCACCGCCCTCCCGCTCAATCTCCCCCGCCCAGTCGCGCCAACTAATCGGCTTCAACTTCTCAGCGCCCAGAACGAGTCCCGCGGAGACGACAAGCACCGCAAGTAGCGTTTCGACGATGATATCCTGTGGCAGGGTAGAAGCGGAGGCGGATGCGCGGACGTTGCTGGAGAGGACGGTGTGTTCGTGGGCGGAGTAGCCGCTGCAGTGGGGAAGCTGTCAGTAGGGAATATTTTTGGAGGAGTTGTAGAACAATTGCGGCCATTCGCAGTGGATAACGGGATACATACGCATGAGCGAGTAGCACAAGGCCGAAGAATGAGACTAGTCGGGAGAGGAAGCTCATGTTCGTGGTGTTTGGGGGGTTGTGGTGGACACGGAGGCGTGGTCCCTGGTGGGTGGGATGAGTTGGTGGGTTTGAGAGGGATGCAATTGATGATGTGGCGAGCTTTGGAAAAGAAGGGAAAAGCAGATAAGGTACCGCTGGACTCCCGAAAGCTCGCTGGGGTTGATCTTGAGCTGAAGGAGGAAAGTTGGTGATAGCGTGGATGCTGACCTAAGCACCGCGGAATCCCGTGACTCCGCCAACAGAGAAGAAGTACACCAGTGTATTAGACAGATTGTTGTTTACGAAGTCCATCTCTAGACATAGTTACTTCTACAATGACGGAATATCATGTTGGGTTTGTTCGTGATTGATTTTCATCAAAGCGGCCAGGGATCGGTCCGTTTCTAGCTGGTTCGTAACTGTGGGTTTCCTTAAAACATCAACATAAAATCCATCTCCTTCATTCCACGTCTCCAATCACAGCTTCTGCATGGCAGCAACGTCGGTGGACTGGACGTGGTCCTCATCCTCCTCGATCTGCTGCTGCAGCTCGTCCAGAGACACCTTCTCGTCCTCGATAACCAGGTTGATCTGCAGCTTCTTAATACCGAAGCCGACGGCAACCAACTTGGAGGCACCCCAAACGAGACCGTCCATCTCGACGGCACGGACGTTGGCCTCCAGCTCCTGCATGTTGGTCTCGTCATCTGCAATCAGTTAGTATCACGTTTTCATCTGATCATTCAAGAAGAAAACATACCCCAGGGCTTCACCTCGAGAGTGACGATCGACTTGGCCGCGGGCTTAACCTTGCCCTCCTTCTTCTTCTTGTACTCAGCCAGGTTCTTCTCACGCTCGGCCTTGTGAGCCTCGTCCTCCTCCTCGGAGTCGCTGCCGAAGAGGTCCTCCTCGTCAGACTCCTCGGCCGAGGGCTTGTCCTTGGGGTTGACGGGCAGCTCGGTCGACTCGGGGCCGTAGGCAGTGAAGGCCTGGGATGGGTCACCGGGGAGGGTGGCGAATTCGCTCTCGTACGAGGCGATGTGCTTGTGCCAGCGGGCAACGTGGGGGTACTTGGCCGCGTCGGGGGCGGCGCTGAAGGCCTTGAAGGTCACAACATCGGCCTGCGACGGAGCGTGACTAGAGACCAGTCAGTCAGTCATGGTCTTTCACGTGGGCTGTCATTTGAAATAAATCGACAGGAAAGCAACAGTCAGAGACGCGATTTCTCGCAATTGGAGGTAGTCATGCAGCGGGGTCTTAATCCGCCTCTTAAACACGGACCAATTTGTTCTCATCATCAAAGGACGGGGGTGGAGCGTAAGGGGTCTTCTTACCCAACGACGTAGCTCCGAGTGGACAGGTAGTTGTTGGCCACTAAGGGACAGTCAGTCAGCTGTTCTCGAACCCTAGCAAGAGGTGAAACATACGAGCCAGGCCGGCATCGGAAACGAAGTCAGTGAAACCCATTGTGACGGGGGGGAGGTGGTATACGAGTTAGGGGGATTGAAAGGGATGGAGGGGAAGGGAAAAGGAAAACAGAAGAAAAGAGATTTTTCCCGTGTGGCCAGTGCCCCACGTTGAAGTCCCGGAAGAATGGTTAATGCGACAGCCGGAGAGAGAGAGCTTGGGCGGCGTGGAGCTGCGGTGGAGCTTTCGAGAAGCGTCACGACTCTACGACTGTGTTTCCCCGACACGGTATATTAAGTGATGGCAGTGTCGTCTTGACCAGCACCACATCATGGCGGCCAGACTGTCTCTCCCCACTCGCAGCCGGCTCTTGCGAACCCCCAGCCTAGCTCCGTCCCGCCGGCTTGCCCCAGCTTCGCGCTCCTCTCTCGTCACTCACCCTCCGTCACTTCTCCGTCCAGCAACCAGGCTCGCTCCCGTTCCCTCGGTGCGCCATTATGCAAATGGGCGCCCACACCCTCCCGGTGGTACCCATCGGATGGACATGAGCGGCGAGCCCGAGAAGCCTGCGCTAGAACAATATGGCGTGGACCTGACGGAGAAAGCGAGAGCGGGAAAGTTGGACCCGGTGATCGGGCGAGACGCTGAAATCCATCGCACGATCCAGGTGCTATCGCGACGAACAAAGAACAACCCTGTCCTTATCGGTGCCGCCGGTACCGGTAAGACGGCCGTGATGGATGGTTTGGCACAACGGATTGTCCAAGGGGACGTACCGGAGAGCATCAAGAACAAGCGCGTTATCTCTCTGGACTTGGGGTCTCTGATTGCAGGCGCCAAGTTCCGGGGTGATTTTGAAGAGCGTTTAAAAAAGGTGCTCAAGGAAGTGGGGGACGCCCAGGGTGGCGTGATCCTCTTCGTTGATGAGCTGCACACCCTGCTTGGATTGGGAAAAGCCGAGGGCAGCATCGATGCAAGCAACTTGCTCAAGCCTGCGCTGTCCCGTGGAGAACTTCAATGCTGCGGTGCCACCACCCTTAACGAATACCGCTTGATCGAAAAAGACACCGCCCTAGCCCGACGGTTCCAGCCTATCCAGGTGGCCGAGCCGTCAGTTGCCTCGACAATCTCCATCTTGCGTGGTATCAAGAATAAGTACGAAGTGCACCATGGTGTCCGCATTACGGATGGCGCGCTGGTGGCCGCAGCCACCTACAGCAACCGCTACATCACCGACCGATTTCTTCCCGACAAAGCTATCGATCTCGTCGACGAGGCGGCATCGGCACTCCGCTTGCAGCAAGAATCGAAACCGGATGCTATCCGAGAACTCGAGCGCAACATCACCACCATCCAAATTGAGTTGGAATCGCTCCGCAAGGAAACCGATGTCAGCAGCCGCGAACGTCGCGAGAAACTCCAAGAAGACTTGAAAGCCAAACAGGACGAGGCCGGAAAGCTGAGTGAAATTTGGGAAAAGGAAAAGGCGGAGATCGACTCCATAAAGCAAACCAAGGAGGAGCTGGAACGTGCCCGATTTGAGCTTGATCAAGCCCAGCGCGAAGGAAACTTTGCCAAAGCTGGAGAGCTAAGATACTCGAAAATCCCTGAGCTCGAGGGCAAATTGCCGAAAGACGGCGCCGAGAACGAATCAGACAAACAGACCTTGATTCACGACAGCGTCACTGCCGAGGACATTGGCCAAGTCGTGTCGCGGACAACCGGCATTCCGATCACCAAGCTCATGGCTGGGGAGGTTGAGAAATTGATCCAGATGGAAGATAGACTCCGTAAATCGGTTCGCGGCCAGGACGAAGCTCTCTCCGCCGTTGCCAATGCAGTACGGATGCAGCGCGCAGGCCTCAGTGGTGAAAACCGTCCACTCGCCTCATTCATGTTCCTTGGCCCAACCGGTGTCGGCAAGACGGAACTTTGCAAGAAGATGGCCGAGTTCCTCTTCTCCACCGAAACCGCTGTGGTGCGGTTCGACATGAGCGAGTTCCAAGAGAAACACACCATCAGCCGTCTAATCGGCTCTCCAGCCGGGTATGTCGGGTACGATGACGCGGGCCAACTGACCGAGGCGGTCCGGCGAAAGCCATACGCAGTTCTGCTGTTTGACGAGTTCGAGAAAGCGCACCGCGACATTTCGGCCTTGCTGCTACAGGTCCTCGACGAGGGTTTCCTCACAGATTCCCAAGGCCACAAAGTTGATTTCAGAAACACGCTGATCGTGCTGACCTCCAACCTTGGCGCCGATATTCTGGTTGGCGCTGATCCCCTGCACTCGTTTAAGGATTACGGAGACTCGGAACTCTCGCCGGACATCAAGAAGGCCGTCATGGATGTTGTGCAGGGCTCTTACCCGCCTGAATTCCTGAACCGCATTGACGAATTCATCATCTTCAAGCGACTGTCGCGTGAGGCTCTCCGAGATATTGTCGACATCAGAATCAAGGAGCTGCAGTCGAGATTGGATAGTCGCCGGATGATCTTGCAAGTGGACGACGAAGTCAAGGACTGGCTGGCCGACAGAGGCTATGACCCCAAGTTCGGCGCTCGTCCGCTGAACCGTCTGATTGCCAAGGGAATTGGCAATAGCCTGGCGGATAAGATCATCCGTGGCGAAGTCACGTCTGGTCAAACTGTCCGGGTCTCTCTGAATGCCGACAAGTCTGGCCCGGTCGTCTCTCGCGAGGAGTAATATGGGAGGGGGGTTTTTTTTTCCCTGGAAAAGTGGCGTTTTTCCGTGGCATATTATACGACGGTGTTTTCCCTTTTTTTTCTTTGTACGATATTTGGATCTTCACTCTCATCTTCTACGGACTTGTATAGTACTGCTCTCCCTTCTTGGTAAAATAATGAGATCACATTCAGCTCTGATATCCTGGTATGGCCATAAAACAAAAACCTTTCATGCCCGATCAACTGCATATCCGAACTAACTCCATAGACACGATGAAAAGCAAGTGGGCCACCCGAATTCACGACACGAGATAACAAAAAGTCTGTTTACTTTTCGCCATATTTCTCCTCAAATACCTCGATCTCGCGCATGGTAGCCAGGGCCATATCGAGGGTCTTGGAAACAGACTCCACGAGCAGATCCTTGCGGAAGTTCAGCTCGTCGCAGGCTGCCTTCAGTTCCTTGATGCAGCTCTTCAGGTCAGCGGTGATTTTGGCGCGGGCCTCCTTCTTCGCTTTCTTGGTCTGGTGCTTTTCCTTCTTGGCGGCCTTGCGCTTCAGGTCGTCCACCTCTACAGTAGATTTGAGTGGTTAGACAACATGTACGGCTGGGAGAATGTATAAAAGGGTGTACTTACGCTTGTCCTTGGAGGAGCTGGTGGTCTTCTTTAGCGACTGAGCGCCGTTAGGGACAAGAAGCTTCTTGGCTTTTTCGACTGTGGCAGTCATGGTGGTGGAGTTGTCAGGTGTAGTCACGAGAAGAAAAGAGTAGTAGCTTCGAGGGTGAGATGTTGACGTGCGAGTCAAAGAGAGAGCGTGGATGCTTTGTTGTGTGAGAAGAAGAAAGAGAGGAAGAAGAAAGAGAGGAAGAAAAAGAGAGGAAGAAGAAAGAGAGGAAAAGGAAAGAAGGAAAGAGGAAGAAGAGTAAACAAAGTGGACTTGATGTGTGCGCACCATATCGGGCAGGCAAGCAGGCACGTATCAGCAGGCCGTTCATTACTTTCTCCCTCATCCATCCACGTATACACCCACATTCTCCATTTGCAAACACCATGGATTCGTCTCTCAAAAGGAAAAGACCTGCTCATCCTCCCATCACACCTCGTACTTTCAATCCACAGCAAGTCCTTGGAAGCCTCTCGTCCAGCCGTGGACTCAAGGACACACCCAACTCCATCCCAACTACGGCCCAGTTGCGTACCCCATTTCCCACTGAGATGGTATTGGATCTTGATGCATCGGAGAGACCCTCTGAGGATGGACTGGGTCATGTCGTCGCTGCAATCGACATGAAGGACTACGGCACTGTGGGGTGCTCGTACTACTCCACCGAAGAAGAGAAGATATACCTGCTGGGCGACACTCGTTTGGGCGGAATGGAGACCATTGAAGCTTGTCTGTTCCTAATTATATACTTGGATCGATCGCAATGGCTGCTGATATCGCCCACCAGTGCTTCTCCAGATTCGGCCAACGGTCATCTTGACGCCGCCTCGAGTCGATCTTCTGGATGCACAGGACCAGAGACTGAACCTTGCGCAGGAGACTGGTATCTATAACTCAAGTTTGGAAGTTCGAAACTGACACTCGTGCGTCTTAGAATCGTCTTCCTATCTACCTTACCAGGTAGATGTTCGCCCAACCTCAGAGTTCAACCATGTCAGTGCGAAGAGCAAACTGGTATCACTCGACCTGTCGTCAACCCACGAGGAATGCCTTCGCTTCTTTGTGCCTCATGACGGCATTGCAGCACCCGACGAAGTGAATGCTGAAGACATGGGATTTACCCTTCAAGAGGGAAGGTTTCTGCATATATCCAGCTCTGTTGACATGGAGAACCCGGTGACCATTGGCTGTGCCGGTGCAATTCTCACGTATTTGCAACGACGGAGGGCTACACAGCCAAGTCTAGGGGACAACGGTAGTGCTGGGTTCCGAGTGCGGTCCTTGGAGATGTTCAGCCTCCACGACACTATGTGAGCAACAGTAATCCGTGTCAGATGTTCGTGTTAATCAGAAGACAATAAATAGGTGGATCAATGGAAACACATTCCTGTCACTCCAGATTGTGCAATCCGAGTCCCATCCAAACATGTTCAACCAAGGCCCGGGAAAGAAGTCATCCTCGGGAAAAGAAGGTCTCTCTGTCTATGGGCTTTTCCATCGCTTTGCAGGTACGCCTCAGGGAAGAGCCGGACTGAGACGGATGTTCTTCCGCCCAAGCGTGGAATTAACTACGATTTCCGAGCGGCATGACTTCATTGCAGTTATTTCACGGCCGGATAACCTGGCTCCGCTGGAGACGATGACCAATGCTTTGAAGCATATCAAGAACCTCAGGCCCGTGCTGATCAACCTTCGCAAAGGGGTTAGTACGGGAAGTGCAAAGATTACAGGTTTCAAGACTACGGTCTGGGCGAGTTTGCTAGCGGTACGTAAAGTTTTGGTGGAGACGAGGGGGATGTATGCTGATGTGGAGGCTCAGTTTGCTTTCTTTTCGATTGACATCCACGATGCTTTGCGGGAGACCTCCGGGGCTGAGACGTTGCCTCTGCGGACAAAGGTGAGCACTTTTCTGTTACCCCGATATAATTCAGGTTCTCATATACTCCAGGCTCTTCGGGTCTTTGAAGCAGCTCAGCTATATAGAGTGGGACGCATGATACAGGAGATCGTGAGTAGTTTATCATATCAGGAGACGACTACTGATAAGTGTAGGTGGATATTGACAGTTCAGAAGAGCAAAGCAGAACAGTGGTCAAGCAGGGCCTTGACAGGCATCTCGATAGGATGAAGGACAGATACGACGGTCTGAGCAGTCTGTTGAAGCATGTCGCTATGGACGTTGCCAGCACGATCCCCGAGAATCTTGATATTGACATCAATGTGATCTACTTTCCCCAGCTGGGGTTCAATATCGCAATTCCGCTGAATGGACGGGGTGAAGCGACATACAACGGCTCCAGTCAGGATTGGGAGCTCATGTTCATCACGGAGAATAGGGCATATTTCAAAGATTTCCGCATGAGAGAGATGGATGAGAAGCTGGGTGACATTTACAGTCTCATCTGTGGTAAGAATGATCAACATATTTTTGCAAGCACTATCTGATTCATGGTTCAGAAAAGGAGATTGAGATCGTGTACGACCTGGCTCAGGGTATTCTGCAGTATGAAAATGTACTCGTGGATGCGTCGGATATCTGTGGAGAGATTGACTGGTAATATTCTCCAGATTGTATTTCAGAAAATTCTTGTACTCACGTTTCCCTTTCAGCCTTCTGGCTCTCACACATGCGGCCAGTTTTTACAAGCTGGTGCGGCCCCGGATGGTCCAACACAACATCATCAAAATCAAGGGTGGCCGGTAAGCTTGTCCCTTCGGTGGCTTTTTTGCAGCATCTAATGTTCTCCAGGCATATTCTCCAAGAACTGACCGTTTCTTCTTATGTTCCAAACAATACGTATCTGATGGGTGGAAGTGTAGGGAATGCAGAGCCCAAAGCCTCTTTGTTTGCCGACCAGACACAAAGCATGCTGCTGTTGACTGGGCCAAACTACTCGGGGAAGAGCGTCTATATGAAACAAGTTAGAACTCCCTGCCCCTACAACACACATAACAGGCTGAATTTGGTTAGGTTGCCTTGATTGTCTACCTCGCACAGATTGGCAGGTCCGTCGATTCCGTTTCAATCCGTGGTCCGTAAGAAGAGAACTAACGGGCAGCAGTTTCGTTCCTGCGGACAGTGCAGAGCTGGGTATCACCGATAAGATCTTGACCAAGATCAACACTCAAGACAGCGTCTCCAAGGTACCACCAATTCATCTCTACGCTGGGCTGCCTAAGCTGATCCCCTCTCAGATCCAGAGCACGTTCATGAACGACTTGCAGCAGATCTCACTTAGTCTGAAGCAGGTTACTAGCCAAAGTTTGGTGATCATCGATGAGTTCGGCAAGGGCACAAATGAGTGTGGTTCGTGACATCCCTTAGACCTTGTTGAATCAAGTTGATCGCGATGATAGATGGCATCGGTCTGGCATGCGGGATCCTCGAACACCTATTGAACCTGAACGATCCTCCAAAGGTGATCGCCGCGACGCATTTTCATGAGATCTTTGAGAACAACTTCCTGGCATCGCACCCCCGACTGCAACTCGGGCACATGGAGGTTCAAGTCTGCGAAGAGTCGAAGGAAGTGGAAGACCAAATCACCTATCTTTACAAGTATGTCTGAACCCAGTTCTCGAGCAAAGGGAGTACTAACGAATGGCCCAGCTTCCGACCTGGTCGCGGCAACAAGAGCTTTGGAACCATGTACGGCCTACTTTTCTCCCACGGCCTCGACGCCGTCTGTGGCTAACATTCTGTTGTACTCCAGTTGCGCCGCCATCAACGGTATCGATCCTGCGATTGTCTCCCGCGCTACGGAGATCGTTTCCCTATCAGCTCGTGGCGAGAACCTTGTTGCCGCTTGTGCAGTTCTATCTTCCGAAGAGACGCAGGCCCTCAAGGAAGCCGTACGTTTTACTGGATGCGTTTAAGGCAAACCACGGCTGACTTGAGACTTCTATCAACAGGACGCCCTAGCCAGGAGTTTCCTGGGAATGGACCTCTCAGGCCATGATGATGGCTTAGGCGGCAAGAGGGAGGAGGCCTTGCAGGAACTATTCTCGAAGCTTGGGCAATGAGGGGTCCGTTAACCGGTGGATACTTTTCCTGTTGCGCTATCCATGCATGGGCTACGTGTTTTCCGAATATTTGTATGATCATCACTTCCTGTTGCTTTCCTCGGATAGCGTTATGCCCGCTAATATTAGCGCAGAGTCGCCGTTGCTGTACTAAATCTGTTCTGGAAATTCCGCATTGGGGCCAAAAACGACATGAACCGAACGCGCCTGCGCCATGCCGTGAGGCTCCTGGCCTGAGTATTCTTCCATGCATCTGCGTGGATAAGTTTCTTTCTCAACTTATCTCTCCCCGCCATACATAACAGCCGATGGTTGTTTACATCGTTGCCGACGCGTACTCCCGGTCCCACCAAACTCAAATTTACCTGAAAGCTCGTTGCGAACCTGGAGCTTTGCAGAGCCCCACATGTCCCAAATCCCAGAGCTCGTCAGGGACTCGAAACTGTCCACCAAAATCGATGCTGAGCACACAACACACACATTTCTAGAGTCCGGTTCGGTGGCTGGTCGGAGATCGAGGCGCAGAGAGCGCGAGGAAGTGTGGAAGAAGAAGAGACATCTAGGGATCGGCATCTTCGGCACAGTATGGCTGGAGGAATGCGTGTCAGAAAATCAAGAGCACAGACTCCGCGCTGTGAAGGAGGTGCGGAAGATGGGGCCGGCCGCAAAGGCTATGGACTATAATCGCGAGCTGGAGACTATTGCGAAGTTCTCTCAGCAGAAAGTATGGATATTGAAGACGAACTACTGGGGTTTGGGGTTGTTGCTGATATTCGGACCAGTTTGATGGATGCTTCGTGCAATCCTCCGGGTGGTTTGAAAGCCCAGATGCTGTGTGTATTGCCATGGAGTATCTTCCGAACGGTGATTTGCAGAAGTATATGACCCAGCCCTTCCCGGAGAACGAAGCGCAGCAGATTACTTTCCAGCTTCTCGAGGGTCTGGACTACATGCACAGTAGTGGGTTTGCTCACCATGACCTCCGGCCCCAAGTGAGTTATTTATGCCCTACTCGCAGGCCGGTATGATTCTGACTGACTTCTGCAATCAGAATATCTTCGTCCTGTCCTACGGTCCGGATTGGTGGGTCAAAATCGGTGACTTCGGTCTCAGCAAGCGCGTGATGGAAGGATTTACAGGCCTGCAAACTTTCAACAGCACCCCAGCTTTCACTGCTCCGGAAGTATATGAGCAAGCGTGGAAGCAGCAGCAAGAAGACGATGCTCCAGTCCTGGATTCCACTCCAGAAGCCGATATCTGGGCCCTGGGTGTGATTGTCTATTATATGTTGACTGCGAAGCTGCCATTCTCTCTGAGCAACCATCTTCTCGACTACTACAATGGAGAAACGGGCCTTCCCGTGAAGTCATTAACTCTAGTCGGTTCTAGCCCAGATGCCACATCATTCTTGGAGTCTGTAATGGCGGCAAAGGCCTCAGATCGCTCAACCGCCGCAGACGCTTTAAACCATGTCTGGGTAGAAGCCGCACAGCAAGAGCCACCTCCGCCATCTCCAACAGGCAGCCAGTGGAGCTTTACAAAATCCCCCAGGCTCATCCCAACCGCGCTGAGTCAACGGGAGCCCATCACTTCTACCAATGAAGCTGCCCCGGAACCGATTCCGGATGACGACGTACCACCTCTGAGAGTGTCGAACCTGGCAACAGAAAAGGCACAAGAACTGTTCGCCGGCGACGACACATCTAAGTACGTGATCAACGACCTGAACCTCGGAAATCCGCCACCATCAGCAGCCAATACATCCTTCGTCCAACGCCACCCCTCCTCCACCACCGACACCGAGTCAATCGCTCCATCCGAAGACAGCGAGCGTCCGGTTACATTGACTCGATACTTCCGCCGGTCAACTGGTAAGTCCGAAGACAGCGAGCGTCCGGTTACATTGACTCGATACTTCCACCAACTGTCTGCATCCGACATCTCGCCGGGAGAAACTTTGCCATCTCACCCTTCGCCCGGCACAAGATTGTCCTCGCAATTATCCTCGTCCGACGTTGCTAGTGTCTCGAAAGCAGTGCCCTCTTGTACACGGCGCAGGTCTGATGCAGCGCCCATCCCCATATCGGACTTGGAATCCGATGTCACCAACACCAAGCCAGGTGGTCCGCCCAGCATAACTAGCAGCAGGAATGGCGTAGGCGGAGATCGATGGGATAAATTCCGGAGAGCATCGCAGAATATGAATTTTGTTCCGCGCTGGAATAGGCATGGGAGGAAGGTTTCGGAGATTTCGATTCCAAGCTCTTTGTCAAGGCAAGTTGCCCATCATACGGATGGACCATTTATTTAGTTTTGTTCTGACTGAGGACATTGCAGCACGGGTTCGAAACCCAAAACTAAAACCCAGGTGGTGAAGATGTCTGGCCCGCAGTTTGCAGAGGGATTGCCTATGTTCCCTGTTCGAGAGAAAGTTCAAAAAGGTTTGTTTATATGCCATTGCGAGTGGGTCGAGTGCTAAGAGATAATAGACTGAAATGCATTTTCCTGCTGTGGTTCATTGGGATTGGGTTTTGTGATACCATGTATACATGTTCCTAGAATGAATTATCCATACTATGTCTTAAATGGTTCGCCCATCTGGTTATGCTCTAAAATGTAGAATTGATTTTATATACAGACAGAAACGCCTGAATCTGCAAGGGGAACCCAAATATACGCCTGAAAAAAAGACATCCCCAGTGACACTCACAGCTTGACACTCTTGACCAGGTTCTTCTTGATACCCGTCAGTTCACCACCATAGCCACCACGGCCCTCACCACCCTTATAGATCTGGCGAATGCTGCCCAATTTCTTCTTCTTTTCATCGTACTTCTTCCTCTTCTTGACACGCGGGTTGCGCACGTCCTTCTTCCGCCTCGGTGCGAGACCCTTGTTCTTCTCGATCTGGTACGTAATAGCGCGCTTGCCATCCGGCCCAACCGACTCTTGCACCTCGACACGCCCACCCTCACGGGCAGCAGCAGCATAGGCGTCTGCGCGGGCCTTCTTTTCGTCCTTGCGCTGATTGGTCCGCGCGGAAACCATATCGTAGTATTCATCATCGTGGGCGCCGGACTGGTTGTCGCCGTGGCGGAGTTCCTTGGCCATGCGGTGGTCTTCCTCGTCGCTGTCGCCACCCAGCTCTTCGCCGACGTCAGGCCGTTGGCGGCCGCGTTTCACGGCATCGGCGATCAGTCGTGCCTGTCGGTCCTTCAGGCGCTCGCGGTGCGGAATATCTGCGTCACCGCCTGCATCCAGGCCGGCGGCATGCCGCTTGTTGGCCTTCTGGGCTAGCTGGGAGGTGTAGAAGCGGAGCGAGCGCTTCTGCTTCGCCTTTTCCTCTGCCTCGCGGGTCGTCAGGGCATCTTCGTCACCAAAGTCAGAATCGTTCTCGTCCTGGGCTGTTGTCTTCGTCTTCTGGGTCTTGCGTTTCCGTGTAGGCTCGGTGACCAGGTTCGAGAGATCGGCCAAGCCGGCTTCGGTTTCACGCAGACGCTCGGCGCGGCGCGCTTCGGCCTCTGCCTGCGCTACCTCGGCAGCCCGCTGTGCCTTGCTCAGCTTCTTCTTCTGCTGCTTGGGCTCCTTCACTTCCTTGGTCTTCTTTTGTTCGAGTTTGACAGCTGGTTGAACCTCCTTCAAGAGCTTCTTCGTCGTTTGCGTCGTGGAAACATCGGGGATTTCGAAATCCTTGACAGACTCCCAGAGCTTCCGGAATTGAACAAGAGATCTCATAACGGGATGCTCCCGTAGCTCAGCGGGCGACATCGGAGCATGCTCGCTGGTTGTGTCTGAGGATGGAGAGGCAAGGAGCATGAAGTACATGCTAATCGTGCCCATGTATGCAGACAACGCACGCAGTTTCACTACGGCCACTGGTGCGGGTTGGGGCTCCTCAGCAGACTCGGGTTCCGCTGCTGCGGCCTTGGAAGCAGCCTTTTGCAAAGACCGATAGACAGACTGAAGTTGGGTGAAATCCTTCGCCAGTGGCTCCAATTCGGGGTACCGCGAGTTCAGGATTTTCAGCTTCTCCTTCTTTCCCATGTCATCGGTGATTTGCAGCTGGGGCAGCACCTCGGTGACAGCTTCGGCTTTCTCGGCCTCCTCGTCAGGCCCTTTGCCGGTGTCCATCCATTCGGATTCATCGAAGCCAAAGTCGGCCTCGGTCATGGCCTCCAAGTGTTTCTGCTGTAACCGCTTCGCCTCCTGCTCTTCCTCCAGGGCATCGATCTCGGTCTCGATCTGGTCTGCGTTGTAGAGGTCCTTTTTCGACGAGCCCCAGGCCGCAATTCCGTCCTCCTCTCCGTCCGACTCGGCATTCCGTCGGGGCTTGCCCATCTCATCTTCGTCATCGAGATCATCCGCATATTCCTCGCCGTTCTCGAGATCGTCTTCGTCCTCGTCCTCGTCGTAGCCTAGGATTTCCTCGTCCGTGGACTGGAGCAATTCCTCTGCCATGATTGGTTAGAGTGAATCATCGGTATCACTTATCAAGTCACGTACCTTCCTCTGCGACCCTCCGCCGTCTTTTCGCCTCGGGACCTTCCTCCAGCAGGATGTGATCCCGCCCGGCTTGGAAGTCATCCTCGGAGTCGTCGAATCGTTCTTCAATGTGGAACTTAGACTGTTCCGAGGCTGGAGCCTTCGGAGCCGCAGGGCGACCGCCGGCTTTTCTCTTCTTGCCCATTGTTGCTAGTGGTTGTATCACTCAACTCTGGTTATCACTGAGCCCGGTAGAATAAATTTTTGGTTTCACCGCCTTCACAGCGCTAGAGGGGCGTTTGCCAAGTTTGCACTGTTTGAAATCAGATTACCGTAATATACCACCTTATGGCCCACAAAAAAACAGGATCGTGTCCTAAACGGTTTGAGCTGTTCCTGTCCAAAAAAGCACGGAGCATCGAGACCGACACCAACACGGCAGGCGCGATCGAGAGTGTTTTGGATGCCCTTTTCTTTCTGTATCTCCTTCTTCATGTCTCAATTTCCATTTATCGCGTCACTCTCTTCGCTATCCGCTCCACAACTCGCAGCTTCAGCACTCGTTTGTATCATGACTGTCTATACACTCGCCAGGATGTTCGGCTACGGAGCGAAGAACGAGTTCGTTGTCGAGAACCGGGTTGGTGCCATTCCTTTCCAGTTTGCGCCATCCGTTGAGCTGACTCCTTGCAGACTGTGGTTATCACGGGCGGCTCAGATGGCATGGGTCGAGCGGTCGCGATGCAGCTGGCCGAGAAAGGCGCCAACGTCGTCATTGTGGCTCGTACCGTCTCGAAGCTTCAGGCTGCACTCGAAGGCATCACTGTAAGCCGTTGCCTCTAACTGGCATAGTCCCCGTTACTCACACGTGTTTGCAGTCTGCGGCAACGAACCCGAAGCAACGCTTCCATTTCATCAGCGCCGACCTCACTGACGCCGCAGAATGCGAGCGTGTCCTTGAAGAGGTCACGGCGTGGAATGACGGCATGCCCCCCGACGTTGTCTGGTGCTGCGCCGGATTTTGCAACCCGGGCTTCTTTGTCGACGTGCCCATCCAAACTCAACGGCAACAGATGGACACCGTATACTGGACCGCAGCTAATACAGCCCATGCCACACTCAGGAAGTGGCTTGCTCCCATCCACCCAAGTGCGCAGATGAACCTTCCCAAACGGCATCTTATTTTTACCTGCTCCACCCTGGCATTCGTTCCCATCGCGGGCTACGGGCCTTACTCCCCGGCCAAGGCCGCAATTCGCTCACTTTCCGACACCCTGAGTCAGGAGATCGAGATGTACAATGGAGCCCGCGCCCAGAGACATCGCAACGCCGCCCCTGCGGCAGATGTCAAGATTCATACCGTTTTCCCCATGGGCATTCTTAGCCCTGGATTCGACAACGAACAGAAACTAAAGCCGGAGTTGACGAAAAAGCTCGAGGAGGCGGACAAGCCACAGACTCCCAGCAAGGTTGCTACGATTGCCATCAACGCTCTAGAACGCGGCGACTATCTCATCACCACCATGTTCGTTGGTCATGTCATGAAGGGCACTGCCCTTGGCCCCAGCCCCCGAAACAGCCTGGTCGGCGACACACTGTTGAGCTGGCTGAGCAGTCTGGTGTTCCTGCAGGTTATTCCGGACCTTCGAGGGAAGGCATTCAAATGGGGTAAAGCCAACGGGCTCTCTAATAACAACTAGACGCGTTGGTTGAGCGATGAGGGCGTGTTGTTTGTCTGGTTCTGTTCGGCGAGTGTCTCTATTATACCCCTACCTAGGAGCTGCCTTTCCTCCTCTATCCTGTCCTTCATGTACTCCTACCTCCGATATCACTACGAACGGAAATCAACAAATGACCATTACATTCCTTGTTCCGCATATATAGTCCTGGATGTGGCAGGCGGTAACTTGGTGACGTAGTGCTTACCGAAACCAACTTCTCCGACCAGAAAATCAGCTTTTGAGCCCAGCCACAAGAACCATGCGCAGAACTCGACCCTTCCCTCCACATTGAGGGTCTTACTATCTGCTACCAACACCAGATTTGCAGTCGCAACAACTACCCAAATACCCACACCATACTCAGAACACACCGTCACCATGTTGGACGCCCTCTTCTCCATCCCAGTGCTCTCGCTCTTCCTCGTCCCCGCGCTATCCTCATATAGCACCAGCCTCAACATCCTTTTCTTCTACATGACATGGTCGACGCTGGTTCTCTCGCATCCTCCGCTCCGCGTGGAATTGTTCGGCACCGCCGCCGTGCGCCTCTTATTCTACGTGCTGCCGTCAGTCGCCTTCTTCCTATTTGACATTTTGACCCCTTCCGCGGCGGTGGTTATCAAGGCGCAAGGCGAGACCGGGCTTCCCTGCGGAAAGAAACGAGGTAAAATCCGGACGAGGGAACTCAAGGTCGCCGGATGGGCGCTGCTGAATGTTACCTTGAGTGTTGTGGCCCAGGCGGCAATTGAGACGCTTCTTGTTAAGGGATTGGGCGTGCGCAGTGCGCTGAAGGCGTCGATGAGGTTACCTTTGCCCTGGCAGATGGTTAAGGACTTGGCTATGGGATTTTTGGGTCGAGAGGTAAGAGGTCTCACAAAGTTATTTCTCTTCTTTGCTAATGACACTTCTCCAGATCCTGAGCTATGTCCTCCACCGCTACATCCTGCACTCGCGCGACAACTTCCTCGCCCGGTATCACCAGACCTGGTACCACGCGCTCCAAGCTCCATTCCCTCTAACAGCGCACTACGACCACCCACTCGCCTATCTCGTAGGCAAATTCATCCCCACCTACGCGCCCGCCATGCTTTTCCGGTTCCACATGCTCACCTACCTGATGTACATCTCGGTAATCTCTCTCGAAGAGACATTTGCTTTCTCCGGATACACGGTGATGCCAACGAGCTTCTTCCTCGGCGGTATTGCGCGCCGCACGGATATGCATCTGCTCGAAGGCGCACAAGGTAACTTCGGGCCGTGGGGCGTGGTGGATTGGGTGTGCGGGACTACGGTTGGGGACTCTACCGTTGAAGACGATCTCATGGATGAGATGGAGGAGCATGAGATTGAGGACCGTATTAGGAAAATGCTCGAGTCTTCGAAGCGGAAGGTTAGGGAGGGTGCCGCGGGCAGTGTTTCGTCGAGGGGAATTGCGCAGTCTTCACGGCGGCGGAGGCGGGATTAATAGATAATGTTCAATGGAGTTGGGTTTTTATTTTGGGTTTCTATTATTCTGAATGTACTAAATGTGCTTTTTGGTTTGTTTTTGAGAATATGTGATGGTGCCTTCGGATATATATAGTTCAACATCTACCCCGGAATATATATCTGAGCCGAGGATGGCGTATCGCACAATCCATAAGGAAATCCACATTCCACATTCTAGACCCCGCAATTATACCTACTTCAACAAATGTACTTGTCCCGGTTTACTGCGTTTACAGATGGAAAGAATACAGATCTATAGATCCCAATAGTTTGGATTGCCACCTGAACCTGGAAAATCGGAGAGGTCGTACTGAACATAACAAAGAAACTCCAGCCCGCCTGCTGGAAAGAGGTATTTTTAAATCTTTTTTTTTGTGCTTCAAGTCTTTCTTCACATCACGGCTGGGGATGTGCAAACCAGCCACACACATAAAGGAAAGCGAGGAATCATGAAAACCAGGAAACTAAGCGCGGTTATCCGAATTAAACCGCAAGTCGGAGAGAACAAGCACAAGAATAATAACGGATCCCGTATGAAGTTACACACATAGTTCAATGAAACAGCTCCCTCTCCTTTTGATTGTGCGGCGAGTAATGCCCATTCCTCCGATTTTTGTTGTCAAATCGAGCCGCCCATCGTTTGGAAAGAATCTACCGAGCCCGCGGCCACCTCATCGCAACAACGCTTACCACTTCATCTCGTGGGGCTTGTCGCCGTTCCGGAGGCTGAACGAGGTAGCGAGGTAGCTGCTGAGGAACTCCTCCTTCTTGATGGTGGCCAGGATGGCCTGATCGACGGCCTTCTGGTCCGAGGCACGGGCGCTAGCGACCTTCTTCTTCTGTAGGACGGAAACAGATTAGCATTGGGTTCGGTTGGCGACGGAATATCAATCGACATACCTCGGGCTTCTCTCCCTGCTTGAAGAAAGCCTCCTCGGACTTCTTCTCCTTGCTCTTCTCCTTGGTGAAGTACTCGGGGGCGGAGATCTTCTCGATGGCCTTGGAGTCAACACCGCTGACGTCCACGCGCTTGGAGGTGGCGATCACGTAGCGGGCGTTCACCCGTCGGAGAGGGACGCCGTTGATCTTGAAGGGGCCGGTGACCAGGAGGACACCCTGGTCGAGGTGCTTGAGGAGAATGACCCGGCGGCCACGGAAACGGCCGGCAAGGAGGATCAGGATGGTGCCGGGCTGGAGGCTCTCGCGGACCTTGGTGGGACGCAGCGTCTTGCGAACCTGTAACGCACACACATGTTAGAAACGCGAGTCATTTAAAATTGACATTGCAGACTGGTCTGGCATGGTCTTTCTCGTTGTAGACGATGCGACATGGCTCATTGGATTCAATTTTGAATTTCAACGTTCGCCACACAAACACACACACAAAGTTGGAGGGACTCTCCAACTCAGCGACAGCAGCGCCATAGGTCGCATTCATCCAGACGATCAAACCACGCCCATGCCATTTTCTGCAGGGCTGTACTGACTTTCTTGGGCTGCGACTCATCGTCCACGGGGTACCACTTCTGAGCCTTCTGCGCCGGGTGCGGCACAGTCCGCTTGCCCTTTCCAAACTGCTTCGTCTGGCCAACGGCGTCCGACATGATGGCTGCTGGGACGAAGGGGGGAGGAGTGTCGGTGGGTTGGGTGGGTGGTTGTTGGGTGGAAGTGTGTGGACTCGGGGGAGTAAGTCTAGCGGCAGCAAGTTGAATCTGCCCAGAATCAGCGGACTCAGGGTTTGTGGGAGTGAGCCCTAAGAGTAGCCGAATCACGCTAGCCTGTTTGGGCGGAATACTTGGGGCCTCAGGCAGGAAATAAATACGGGGACCAATACACACCACTCATGCAGTAAGTCACCTGCTCACCCGACCCAAAACAACCTTGACGTACTGTGGACCTTACTTGGCTCAACATCTTAACAAACACCTCATTCTTCCTTCCTCCACCTCCCTTCCATCATGTCGATAGACCCCATCATCACCTTCAAAGCAGGCATCTGTGACCTAGATGTACGTCTCATTGTCCTCATTGACGGCGAAGTTGTCGGTTCCCCTACTAAACATCCATCTATTAGGCCTCTGCCACCCCAGCCGCGGTGACTCCGAAGCCGACCCCGGGATATATTTACCTCTACTCGGAAGATGAGCTGGTCCACTTCTGCTGGCGCCCTCGCAGCGCCCCCCTGGACGAGCCCGACCTCGACCTGGTGATGGTGCCCTCGGATGGAAGCTTCACGCCCTACAAACCGGGCGGCAAGGATGCCACAAACGGCCGAATTTTTGTTCTCAAGTTTTCGTCCAGCTCTCAGCGATACCTCTTCTGGATGCAATCGCGGTCGCAGCATGAACAAGGCGACCCAGGCTGGTTTAGCCCGCGGGATCTGAAGCTCGGCGAGATCGTCGATGTGCTTCTGCAGGGTGAAGAGGTAGACGTGGAGCACGAGATTGCAAACCTGCCCCGTCGGCCATCGGGCGGCGATGACGACGAGACCATGGAGGACGTGGAGGGCGTGGACCATGACCCAACCCACAACCACGGCGGGAGCAGTGGCGGCGGCGGCGCTGGCCCGGACGCGACGGGTGGTGACGTTCGGGAAGAAGGTCAAGGATCAAGAGAAGGCGGTGCCGACGGTGGTCGAGCGTAGGTACATCTCTCGGACTGGCCTCAGCTAAGAAGCACGGAGAAGCTGATGCATGTGTGTTGAACTGCAGCGCGACTACGGGCTCCGATCCGTCGTCGGTAGTCAATGACTTTTTGAAGTCCTTGGGTGGCCGCGCGCCGGCCCAGGACCCCGAACAACCTTCTACAACACTCCAGGACCTCCTTCCTCCGTCGACCACGCTGCCGTTCATCGAGTCGGCCGATGCCGCCACCGCTGATCATCTCTTGAGTTTCTTACCGCCGGCGCTGCTACTATTGGCCCAGGGTAATGCCGAGGCCTTGGAAGCTGAGACCGACCCCGAATTGGCCCAAGCGGCTCTCCTGTCCCTCGACCTCCCCCAAAAGAAAGACATCCTGCGCCGCGTGCTTCGTTCGCCGCAGTTCATACAGAGTCTGGCGAGCCTGACGGTAGCATTGTGCGACGGAGGCCTGCCTAGTATCAGCGAGGCTCTTGAGATTCCTGTGGCTAATGGCGGGTTCATGCGCCGAGGCGGAGTGCCCCTGGGGGGCGGGGAGGCTGTGGAGGCGTTTCTGGATGGCGTTCGACAGCATGTCAAGCAAAAGGACTCTGATCCCGGTCAGATGGAGACCGATTGATGGTAGCCTACAGCAGTAGCTAAACTCACTAAGCCGCAATTCACTACAATGTACGAATTTACATATTGCTATTTTTGGAAAGTGGATCGTCCACTCCTTGCTTCGTCAGCCGCAACGCAACTCGGCGGTTCACAGAGGAGACGCTGCCAGGCACGCTCCTATTCCGGTGTTTCTTCTTGTCACCAGGCCACCAAGTGTAGTGAATATTCTAGTCAGTAGAATGCATTCCTAAATTCTAGGCATAACCAAAATACTCCGGTACTGCCACTAGTGCACATGCCAGCATACTTAATAATACGAGGCGCCAAGGCCCACTGGAACGCGGCTTTAGTGGGCATCGGGGAGATTAGTTACTGATGATTGTTCACCCTCCTCCAGCTGAACATCCTGGCCCCCCCCCCTGTTCGTTCGTTCGTTCGTTCGTTCGTTATTGCCTATGTCCCTGACGACGTGACGCCTTTCTGGTCTTTCTCAACTCCCTTCTGCAAAGGCCATGTCGACGATACGATAAATCCCTGAAACCTGCCTGACGATGGCGTCCAATCGCTACAACGGCCATGACAACCGCCCTCCCGCCAGCCAGATCCCCCTCCAAGATCTTTCCAGACCGGCAGAAGTCGTCGCCGCCGATGACCGGGGCAGGAGCCGCGCAGGGAGCGTGGGGAGCAGGCTCTTCTCACGCCGCTCGGTGCTCCGCCGTGGATCGCGCAGGAATTATGAAAGCGTCGCCGAGGAGTCGCCGGTCGACTCGGCTGCCGCCAGCAGACACCACTGGGGACCGTCTCCCTATTCGCATGAGGGGGAGGTTTCGTCTCCCATCGAGGACCTCGGAGGCTTTGCGATGGCCATGTCGTCCGTGGGACTCAGTTTCGATGGCCCCCAGCCAACCTTTCCGTCTCTATCAGCCCCTCCAGCAGCATCGCGCCCGCTAGACGACTCCGACTCCAGCCTCGATATCGTTCCTTTACACTCTCACGATTTTCACGAACCCGAACCCTACACCACGCCCACCGAGGCTCAACAACCGACGGCGCGATTGACGGATCCTCAATTTGTGCAGCCTATCTCCGGGGCCCCTGAACCACAACACCAAAGGAACGTCACTCGCGGGCAATCCGTTCATTTTGCCGATGACACGCGTCTGGGCGACGACCTCCCTCACCTGGAGGCCGGGACGGGGCGACACCACCGAAGCCGGGACCGGTCTCGTTCCTTGTCCCCTTCGGCTCCCGGTGGCGCTTTGCTTCGAGCGAGTAGTATGGTGAAATCCATTTCATCACGAGTTGTCAACCTGAGTAATGAGCCGGAAGTGATTCAGCAGTCGATTGAGAGAGAAGAGTCATACAAACATGCACGGCTGGAAGGCCCTCCGGAATTGCCTGAAATGGTGGAATTCGAAGATGAACCCTATACAGGGCCCCGGTCGCGCAAGAGGAGGCGGCTCTCGGCGAAGTTGTGGAGGGACCGAAACAATCCGTTCAGGGGCAGGTCCCTCGGCATTCTGGGACCGCAGAATCCTCTTCGCTTGTGGTTATGTGATGTTCTGGTTCATCCGTTCACAGAACCCATTATCCTGGGTCTCATTCTCATCCAAACTGTGCTGCTGGCCATCGAATCCTCGCAGTCAGTATGGAATCAGAAGAAGGAGAATAACTGGGGAGGCAACTTTCTGGACTTCGTTTTCTTCGGCATCTTCGTCATCTATACGCTGGAGATGATCGCCAAGATCCTGGTGTCGGGACTCGTCTGGAACCCGGTCGAGTACAGTACCCTCAATCGATCGCTCGGGTTACGCAGCGCGATGGCAGAGAAGGGCCGGAACCTGATCACGCCGCATCGACAGTCCCAGTCCGCAACGGGTAAGAAAGCGTCGGTACTTCAAGTGGAACCGCAGACCTCGATTTTACGCACCTTCACCGGGATGAATGGCCCCGAGGCGGAAGTGTACGACCCTCTTCAGAAACGCCGTGTTCGACTCGCCCATCGTGCGTTTCTACGTCACTCCTTTAATCGCCTGGACTTTGTGGCAGTTGTCGCTTACTGGGTCTCTTTCTTGCTCACCGTGGATGGTGTAGAAAAGGTTCACCAGCTGTACATCTTTCGCATGCTGAGTTGTCTCCGGATCCTTCGTCTTCTGCTTCTTACCAACGGTACCTCGGTGATTCTTCGCAGTCTCAAGAGAGCTGCCCCCCTACTTGTCCACGTCGCGTTTCTCATCGGCTTCTTCTGGCTCCTTTTTGCTGTTGTTGGCATCCAAAGCTTCAAGTCGAGCTTACGAAGGACTTGCAAATGGGTCGACCCCGAAGGCCAGAACAATTTCACTTTGAATGACCCATATAATGTCTTGCAATTCTGTGGTGGTTTCCTCGACAACACTACTGGCGAAGCAAGGCCTTGGATGGATGCTCAAGGATTATTACAAAACTATAAACCCAAAGGATACATTTGCCCGCGCGGCTCTGTGTGCATCGAAGGTCAAAACCCCTACAACGGGACTGTCAGCTTCGATAATATCGTGCAATCACTGGAACTGGTCTTTGTGATCATGAGCTCCAACACCTTCACCGATTTGTTGTACTACACTACCGACAGCGACTATCTCGCAGCTGCACTGTTCTTTGCTTGTGGACTCGTCATTCTGAGTTTGTGGCTTGTCAACTTGCTGGTTGCCGTCATCACGCATTCTTTCCAGGTTATTCGAGAGGAGAGCAAGCGCAGTGCGTTCGCCGTTAATACGATTGATGCTGCGGAGGAGGAAGAGAAGACTTCGCGGAAGATGTCCTCATTCAAACAGCTCTATGATAAAACCGAATGGCTTTGGGTTTGTGTCATCTTCTTCGATCTTGTTGTGCAAGCGATGAGAAGCTCTACGATGGGATCGGATCGAGTCAGCTTCATCAGTGACACGGAAATTGTCATTACTATTGTTCTGCTGGTCGAAATCATTCTACGATTCGCGTCGGACTGGCGTTCATTCCACAAGAAGCGCCGCAATTGGTTTGATTTGTTTCTTGTGGTTGTCACTTGTGTCATTCAGATACCGCCCATCAGAAACTGCGGCCGGCCGTACACCGTCCTCACCGTCTTCCAAATTCTCCGGGTGTACCGAGTTGTACTGGCGTTTTCAGTGACCAGAAACCTCATCCAGGTGGTCTTCCGGAATGCGGTCGGTCTGATCAATCTTATCATCTTCGTGTTCTTGATGACCTTCCTCGTCGCTATCTTTGCAACCCAACTTTTTCGAAGCCAGATCCCCGAAAATGACCCGTCCGGCAACTCGATCGACATTACTTTTGCAGATATCTACAACTCGTTCCTCGGAATGTACCAAATCTTCTCGAGTGAGAACTGGACGACTATTCTGTACAATGCAACGGCATACACAGATAGTTTCAATACCGCGTGGATTTCAGCCGCGTTTATCATTCTTTGGTTTATCTTGGCCAACTTTATCATCCTGAATATGTTCATTGCTGTCATCCAGGAGAGTTTTGATGTTTCAGAGGATGAGAAGCGAGTCCATCAAGTCAGGGCGTTTCTAGAACAGAAGCAAGTCCACAACATGCAGGCTCAAGGAAATCTCTCGTTGTCGAAAATCCTTCGGCTGGGGCGCGAAGATCGATACAAAGATCCGCTTGACCATGGTCCTGCAGCACTGGAAATGCTCCTGAAAGATGCCGTCGTGCGAGAGTTCCTTGATGAAGAAGAAGCCGAGCAGGAACAACCTCCGAACCGGCGGCGAGTGAGTACGCAGCCCTTTGGGTTCAGCGAGGGAAATGGCCAGCTTAATTTTCTCTCGCGCCTTTGGAATAAGACCACCACTTTTATCATGCGCAGAGAAACCAACCCGTTCTACTCCAAGCTCAAGTTCTCTCGTGCCTATGAAGAGTTGGATCCCACAACGATGGCCAAGGAAGTGGTGTCAGCGGCAGAGCAAAGAAAGCGAGCTCAGCGAGAGTATCTCGTCAAATATCCGAACTACAACAAGTCCCTCTTCATCTTTTCACATGACTCCTCGATCCGTCGATTCTGTCAGCGGATCGTCGGCCCTGGTCGTGGTCATCAGCGCGCTCAAGGCGTGGACCCATACAAACCATTATGGTACACCTTCTCTGCCTTGATTTATGCGGCCATTGTGGCAATGGTCATCCTCGCGTGCATTACGACGCCACTGTATCAACGGCAGTATTTCCGGTCCAATCGCAATTGGTTCGTTTACACTGATTTCGGCTTCGCTGTTGTGTTTACCGTTGAAGCCATCATCAAAGTCGTTGCCGACGGTTTCTTTTGGACTCCCAATGCATACTTCCGAAGCTCCTGGGGATTTATTGACGGAATAGTCTTGGTGACACTCTGGATCAATGTTGGCAGTTCGTTGAAAAAGGATTGGAACGTTTCCCGGGCCATTGGTGCCTTCAAAGCCCTGAGAGCATTGCGGCTGCTGAATGTCAGCGACAGCGCCAAGGATACCTTCCACTCGGTCATCATTCTTGGAGGATGGAAGGTTGTCGCTGCCATAGCCGTCTCAATGAGTTTCCTGATCCCATTTGCCATCTACGCCGTGAATCTGTACAATGGTCAAATGGTCCAATGCAACGACACCAACTTTGCGGGCAACTTGACTGCTTGCGTCAATGAGTGGGCTAGCTCTCCTTATAACTGGGATGTGTGGGCTCCCAGAGTCGCCACCAACCCCTATTATGACTTCGACAATTTCGGTGACGCGCTCTTCATTCTTTTCCAGATTGTGTCACAAGAGGGCTGGATCGATGTGCAGGGGAGCGCCATGAGTATTACGGGACAGGGCGTACAGCCCCAAAACAACGCTTCGCCCGCGAATGGCCTCTTCTTCGTCGTGTTCAACTTGCTCGGAGCCGTGTTCGTGTTGACGCTGTTCGTGTCGGTGTTTATGCGCAACTACACGGAACAAACTGGCGTCGCCTTCCTGACAGCCGAGCAACGCTCCTGGCTCGAACTGCGCAAGCTTCTTCGCCAGATCTCTCCATCCAAGCGCTCCTTTGACGATAAGAGCCAGAAGTGGCGGTTGTGGTGCTATCGAATCGCGGTCAAGAAACATGGTCGGTGGGCACGGTTTGTGACTTGCATCCTTGTGGTACACCTGCTCCTGCTGGTCTTGGAATTCTATCCCGAGCCTTACATATGGGAGCTTGTTCGCTCTTTGCTGTTCTTCGCGTTCATGTTTGTCTACGCAGCCAACGTCCTCATTCGGTTGATTGGCCTGGGGTGGCATCGATTCAGTCGCAGTTCGTGGGATCTCTTCTCCTTGGTGGCCGTGCCCGGTGCTCTCATCACCACCATCATAGATCTTTCGTCGGGTATGGAGGTTGTGATGGAGTTGAACAAGCTGTTTCTTGTGGCCATCGCCCTGCTGCTTATTCCGCGGAACAACCAGCTCGACCAGCTGTTCAAGACGGCCGCAGCCTCTCTCACGGCAATCAGCAATCTCCTTGCGACATGGTTCGTTTTGTTCTTGGTTTACGGAATCGCCATGAACCAGGCATTCGGCCTGACCAAGTTCGGCAGTAACGAGACCCACAACCTCAATTTCCGGGACGTGCCCAAGTCTCTCATCCTCCTCTTTCGGATGAGTTGTGGAGAAGGATGGAATCAAATCATGGAGGACTTTGCTACCATGTCGGGTGAACGATGCACATACGACGCCAATTTCCTTGACGATGATTGTGGTAGTGCGTCGTGGGCCCGGTCTCTTTTCATTTCCTGGAACATCATCAGCATGTATCTTTTCGTGTCTCTGTTCGTCTCTCTCATCTTCGAGAGCTTCTCGTATGTCTATCAGCGAAGCAGCGGGCTGTATGCAATCAGTCGCGAGGAAATCCGTCGCTTCAAGCAGGCGTGGGCTACCTTCGACCCGGATGGAACTGGATTCATCACCAAGGAGCAGTTCCCTCGATTACTTGGGGTAAGTTCCTTTTACTAATTCCTGTCGTCACACGACCATTTTGCTCATTCGATTGTATAGGAACTTTCCGGCATCTTTGAGATGCGAATCTACGACGGCGAATTTACAGTTGGAAGCATTCTCGAACGGTGTCGGGTCGACCCCCGAGACTCGATGATGCCCATTCGTTCCCGAGTTACTGACGGAATCAACCTGGATGAGCTCACCGAGATCATTAATTCCATTCCTGTTGATACGATCCGGTCTCGACGGCAGCGACTCAACAAGTTTTACGAGGAAGTGCTCGTCTCGGCGGATCCAGAACGTGGCATCTCCTTCCACTCTGTCTTGATGATTCTAGCCCACCACAACGTCATCACCGATAGCAAGAGTTTGCGTCTGGAAGAATTCCTGCGGCGCCGAGCACGCCTGCAGCGTGTGGATGAAGCCGTTCGACGCAACACGGTGATTGGCTTCTTTGATACTCTATACTGGTCGCGAGAGTTCCGGCGCAAGGTCAACCACAAGAAATCTGGTCGTCTGAGCATGATCCCTACCTTCACCGTGCCGGAGATCTTTGTCGACGATCCCGGCGACGCGGACGAGGATGAGCCTGCTCCTGGTCCAATGACACCCCGCGCGTTGTCCACATCCGACGATGGTGCGCCAATGCTTTCGCCCGCGTCGCGCCCACGCGCAGAGTCCAGTCCGACTTCACGCCAGCACAACCTGCCTCGCCTTGACACCTCCAACCTGTCGTCAGGCCGGTCTTCTGGCGCCAGCTCTCCCACCGGGGACTGGGCTGGGTACAGTCCGACGCGCACTCCGCGCCACATGTACGGCGGCGAACGCTCACCGTTCGAAACCGACGAGTCTCGAGCATCTGATTCGAGAACAGGAATGGGCGGCGACCACTCGCGCCAGAACAGCGCCATGAGCGTCCAGGAAGTCATGAACTCGCTCGAGAACTCCGCCTGGGGTGCGAGTATCCGGCGCAGCTTCACGCAGCGGCGGTCGGGCGATCGATCCGGCGAGCCTTAGCCATGACTGATTGCTATGATGATTTTATCTGATGTTTTGATGATGAGGAAGTACAATAATACGTTGGAAGAAGGGTTTTCTTGGACATTCTTTTTTTTGGGTTTCTTGTGTTTTGTTGGGCCTGTACAACTACATACCCTGGACATCTGCCCTGGGCAGTGTGGCGCATTACTATTTGCATAGCAGCGGCGTGGGGATTTTCTTTTTCTGTCATCTCTGGATAGACCTTATTATTTACCTCCCACTAGTACCCGCCTCCAAATGTCAGGCTCTCACCAGACAACCTCCTTTACTGGACAGAAACCTAAAGCGAACTTTGCGATATTGTACTGCGATAATTTGCTCGCCTTAGGCCACAGACTGCCCTTGTCAGTCTTTCCGTGCGCCAACTAGGCCTGGCCAGTCTCATGCCCTACAACTCCCCATGCTGCTAATACTCTCGAAGTTGGCATCATTAGCTTTCCCTGTAGTAGAGGGGAAACCTCTAGAGTATGAAAGGAAGAGATGCCTGCCTTGTGCTACCACGAGCGAGCATGCCATATACACGCGCGTTAGATTATATGATAGCAGAGGGCATTTGCCCGGCTGCACTAGTCAGTTTAGATATTTGCAGTACGCCGCCACCATTTCTACAGGTCTTTCCTTTCGCTACAGATTTCAATGTGATGGCAAAAAATCACGGTAGCATTGTCGACTTCATTGGCGTCGAAACATCGTGTCCTATTGAACTGCTCGGAAGGTTGAAGTTGAAGTAGTCACAGACCATCATTGACATCATCAATTTGCTAAGGGCTGCTTCAGCTGTTTGGAGTTCAGCTTAGACGCGCCTAGATTTTGATAACCCGGCGGTTCCGAATGTTGCACGTTGTTGATTTGATGGTTCAAAAAAACCACCCAGCCGTGGCTCACCTGATTCAGCAACTCATAGGAGCTTTGCGAACAACATTCCCACAGATGTACCGAGAATTGCGATTTCCGGGGTTGTTGCTCCCACCAATTCAACGCCGAGGTCTAGTGATGATTTAAAATGACGCCGTTCCGTAGGCAAATGGGGCCTCCAATTTTTTAAAAATAATTTTCCTGAAACAGATGTTCACCTTTCAATACCTATAGCTCAGCGTAATGGCTGAAGCAGCAGAATCACGAAAGCGAACTCAAATCGCAGCTGACGACTGGCAAGGGGTGCAACCTACCCACAGCATTTCCTCTACTAATGATTATTCAACCGTTCGGGAAGAAGGGCTCAGCACCGCTGTTCGTATAAGGAGTAGGTATTTCTTTCACAAGGGCAATATCTCGTGCATGATTAACCGGTAATAATGTACAGAGGATGGACGACTGGATGTTAATTTTCAAGAACCACGACCCTGGCTCACAACATTGATGAAACATGTCGAACGACTCCCAGAGCCTGTAACCGAGGAAAGCGAACCGTTGACTGATGTTTCAGAAGAACAGAAGAAATTTCCTCTGAATTTAAATATTGTGATTCAGGTCGTTGGATCGCGCGGGGATATCCAGCCATTCATCGCACTTGGTAAGGAACTTCAGCAACATGGACATCGAGTCCGACTAGCCACACACCTGGCTTTCCGCAACGATATCAATGATGAAGGACTGGAGTTTTTCAACATTGGAGGAAATCCAGAAGAGTTGATGGCTTTCATGGTTCAGAATCCTGGATTGATGCCAGGTATGCGATCAATCCGTAGCGGTGCAATCCAGAAACGCCGGCGGGAAATGAAAGAAATTTTCTCAGGCTGCTGGCGCTCCTGTGTCGAAACCGGGGACGGAACAGGCCTACATCAGATCGCTCACGACCCGCACAGCAATGCGGTGGATGATTGCACGCGGCCTTTCGTCGCCGATGCTATCATCGCGAACCCTCCGGGCTTTGTGCACTTGAGTTGTGCTGAAAAGCTAGCGGTTCCTCTGAATATGATGTTTACGTGAGCGGCAATTGATTCGCCCCAAATGCTCAACTTCAATCTAAACTATGTCCTGTAGGATGCCATGGTCTCCGACACAATCCTTTCCACACCCCTTGGCAAATGTCCGATCACAGAGTACTAAGCCATCTGTCGCCAATTTCGCTTCCTATGGAATTGTCGAAGTCATGATGTGGGAAGGGCTTGGAGACCTCATCAATCGCTTTCGCAAAAAGGATCTGGGCATAGATCCATTGGATGCCACTCGGGCGCCCAGTATGGTCCATCGATTACGGGTCCCCTTTACCTATCTTTGGTACCCTAAGCCTGTTCTAAGCTACTGTCAACTCGTCTTACATTCATAGGTCACCCTCTCTTCTTCCGAAGCCTCATGACTGGTCCGATAATATCGATGTTTGCGGGTTCCAGTTTCTTTCCGCGACGTCAGACTATCGCCCACCCGAAGATCTTGATGCCTTCCTTAAGGCAGGCGAGCCACCGATCTACATTGGCTTCGGTTCTATCGTTGTCGAGAACCCCGACAAATTGACAAAATTGATATTGGAGGCTGCTAGCCGGACCGGGAAACGAACACTCATCTCCAAAGGATGGAGCAACCTCGGCTCTAAGGAACTTGAGATTCCTGACAATGTCTTTCTTTTGGGAAAGTGCCCCCACGACTGGCTTTTTCCGCGGGTTTCGTGCGTCATTCACCATGGTGGCGCCGGAACCACCGCTGCAGGACTACTTCTAGGCTGCCCAACAGTGATTGTTCCATTTTTCGGGGACCAACCATTCTGGGGTTCGATTGTTGCTCGGGCAGGCGCGGGTCCGCAGCCCATTCCGTACAAAGAGCTGACAGCTGAGAAATTAGCTGCTGCGATCAAAGAAGCTCTCGAAGTGCATACAAAAAATCGTGCAAACGAAATTGGAGAAAAGATGCGCAAGGAAAATGGCACAGTTGCTGCTACCCACAGTTTCCATCAGCATCTTAATGTTGACTCGTTGCGATGCGCAATTTGCCCTGATCGACCTGCAGTATGGTGGCTTAGATACGCACATATCAAACTGAGCGCCTTTGCAGCTTCTATCTTGTTGAACACAGGACACGTTAAACCAAAGGAGTTGGTACTGTATGTACCTCGACATTTTTTCTGCAACCGTTCTGATGATTTTAGGTATCGGGTCCAGGAGTATGACACAACTCACGACCCCCGAGGTCCTGTGTCTGCTAGTGCAGCAGTCCTCTACGGTTTAATGACTGATCTTATAGTCGGCATTGCGAGTGTTCCAGGAGAAGTATATGGAATATTTACGGAATCTCACTCCCAAAAGTTGCGCCACGATTTCAGGGGAAGAGAGTGGGCAATGCAACACTTTTCGACGCTCTTAGACAACATGGAAAAGAAAAGAGAGAGTCAATCTTTTGCTGATACTGGTCATTCTCATAATAATCCTGAGAAACATCATGGCGAGGATCATCATGAGAGCTCACATGGCGCAGCTCCTGTGAGCGACGGTGCTTTAGCAGGTGATATGACACAACGAGTTGCTACCCGGCCTGTTAGAAATGCTCCGAATATTGACGAGAGGTCTGATATATCAGAGGCTCAGACAGGAAGCACTGATGAAAAGCACGGTACTGCAAAGCAGGCTCTCTCTGACGCTTGGTTTCAAACTACTAAGTTTGCAAAACACGCAATGATCTACACCCTTATACTTCCGACAGATATGACACTCAGCTTATCAAAAGGCTTTCACAATGTGCCCAAAATGTATGGTGACACTACTGTTGAACCGATTCCCAGATTCACGGGGATCAAGACTGGATTTCGGGCTGCCGGCACGGTGAGTGTACAGAACGCACTGAACAGCGAACCTTCCTAATGTGCTATAGGAATTATATCAGGGATTTTATCACGGGGTGACTGGATTAGCCCTGCAACCTACAAGGGGTTATCAGCAGTCAAAGAGTAAAGGATTGGCAACAGGGGTCGGGAAAGGATTACTCGGAGCTTTCTTGAAACCTTTTGCAGGTAAGATGGTTGTTGAAGCACTCGAGGCACATACTGAGTTGTCAATTGGCTTTAGGTGTATGGGGATTGGCAGGATATCCCTTAGGTGGACTGCATAAGCACATACGCAGGTCGGTTGGCTTAGCAAAGTCAAAAGAGATCATCCAATCACGCATCACACAAGGTGTCGAAGAAATGTTTGCTGCATCGGCCGAAGAGCAAAATATGGTGATCCATGAGTGGCATGAGCTACAGAACAGTATCCACAGCAGGAACAACCCCAAATAGTCCCGTGTATAGTTTGGAAAATAAGGACTAGCTGGATACGAACATTGACTCACACAGGCACTAGACCTAATGTACATGGGAGATCAACCTCCTGAGATACACCCAGAATCTCGAGTTCCCCAGGGTCTCTTGTTTCTTTCCCACTATATGGGTCCGTTTAGGCGAAGTTGATCCTGTGAGGTCATGTGGTGCCATCTATTCACTCTAGACTTTTTGACCTCGCGCCACAATGATGCCTAGACAACCACTTGTGACTAAGCTGTTAATAGCCATCAAAAAGCTCTTATAAGCCTCTTATTGCATCAGAAGTGTATGAGAATTGTTAATAATCAGCTATCCTGCCACCGTGAAGCTTCGCAGGACCTCATACAATCACAGGCGTTGATATTGACAGAAATGAACACAAGGCGAAAACGCCACATTCTTCCTAGCCATGAAGCTCTTCAGAACCTCGTCAACATGGAAGACAGTCCGAGATAAACTGAAAATGGATATTCCTACCCTGTTGTTGGCGTTTAAGTATGTTTTCAAGAAATCTTTTCACCAGAAGAGGTCTTCCGTGGCAAAAGAACGCAGTAAATTTACTGCAGTATCGCTTGCTTCTGATAAACAGGCGCAGATGCTTTTCCTACTCTCTCAATGACCTGTAATCAAATCACAAACTGACCTATGAACTGAAGAGGCGGAATTGCACCAACTATTGGACTCGCGATGTAGGTCCACTGCCCCAGTAAGAGCCCAAAAGTGTTCTCATAGCCTGCAGATATCAGAGTGAGAGTGTTGCGAAACAATTTTCTACCATCGGCTATCTCATCCCTATAATGTCCATTCTCACTATTCCGATTGCTCCACGAGCTCGATTCTTCCAAAACCTTTTAGTGACAATGGTATTGGCTCACTCCTAACCAGATAAATGACTATATAAGGGCTAATCTGGGCGTTTGTGAAGGTCTTAACTGGATTCGCTATTGGAATCTCTTACTTAGCAATGTGGTGTTCTGTCCGGGCTCGAGCCAACACGACCCATATTCAGAAGGCGAATGGCGGTGGCCCAGTCACTGGTGCTCCCATCAGTCCGTTTAATGCCGCTGCTAGTGTTAATATGGCAATCTGGCTTTTCTTTGAGGTGTGGTTGGCTAACATGTTAGTTTGCAGATGTCCCAATTGCATGCTCTCTAACTGATCGATGGACCAGGTTCCGCGCATTTCGACCTCAGTATTTCGTCTCATCCATAGTATTTTCCATCTTCATCCAAGTTGCAGCTACCTATGGAACTCGCCTTGCTACTATGGATGAAGTTTCATCTTTAAGTAAATTGCACATCTGGTATTCTGATCTTTGTTGGCTAATTGCGGAAATCTCCAGTCAAACGCTTGACTCAGGCGTTTTTTGCAGGCTTTGGACTATCCGCCGCGGTCAATGTGTTAATTCTTCCGTTCACATCTCGAAAGTTGGCCGTTTTGCGCATAGGGAATAATTTTTATTCGATACAGAAAGCACTTAAAGCCCAACGTCATTTCATGCAATCCCTGTCCTCCCGTGAGTGGTTTTCTGTGCTGGAATCAGGCGACGTCCAATGCAACTCTCAGCAGAACACAATATCATGGCCGGAAGCAGATTCGCTGAAAGATGCAATCATGGATATTGCCAAGGGTTTTGCAGAGATCAAAGCAGAGTTGCGCTATGCAAAACGTGAAGCTGGTTGGGACCATTTGGGGCCGAAGGAACTGGTAGAGCTTACTCGCTTACTGAAGAGCATACTAGCGTCGATACTATGGATGAAATCTCTCATTGAAGTCGCTACCCGCATTGAGAAGCGAGGAGGTTGGGACTATTTCAGAGGAGGGTCCGGTATTTCTCATCCAGTGACTGGTGAGGTGGAGAAGCAGCAGTGGAATTGGATATTCGAACAGACTCTCCGTCCTACAGAGCAACTCTCGCAAGCCATGGATGATGGAATCGACCATGTCGCGTGCTCTCTTCGCTTTCGGAAGTCGCCTGCCGCGTCTAGATCAGACCGTGAAGCAAATGCAGATGTCGCAGCCAAGCAGCTGGAGCAAATGATTGGAAATTACCTTAAACAGCAACAAGACCCACTGAAAACCTGGCTCTCTTGGAAAGATATGGATAGCCCGTTTCAAGTGGAAGCACTGAAGAGCGGTCAGAAGCCAGCAGACTCTCAAATACGTAAGCGGCATCAACTTCAGCTATACTTTCTCCTCGATGTAAGTGTTCTTAGCCCAGAGATGCCGTTCACTAACTTCCTCGGAGTTGCAATATTCATTTGTTGAAACCGCGAGAAGGATCCTGGATCTGGTCAGATATGCTGATTCAAGGGTCGTTGATGGTGTTATGAAGAAAAAAAGACTCATCATACCAACGTGGAAACAAATGAGAAAATGGTTCTGGGCTTTGCTAGCTAGGGAAGATCGAGAGTTGGATTACCAGAATTACACCAGGCGCTCCGGCACTGTCAGGGTATACCTTGATGATGTTCTCCAGACTGGAACGGATGCAGAACACCTCCCCTCTGAGACAGTATGGGAGAAGGTCACTGATAAATTCCGGATCGTTCTTCGTTTATTTGGCTCTCCTGAATCCTTCTTCGGTTTCAGAGTCGCCGTGGCCACCATGACCATTGCCATTGTTGCCTTCCTCAGAAACTCACAGATATTCTACATCCAGCAACGTCTCGTCTGGGGATCGATCATGGTTGCAATTAGCATGACAGAAACAACTGGATCTGGTATTTACGGGCAATTTGAGAGATTGCTTGGAACGGCAGCTGGGATGGTGTTGTCGTACATTGACTGGTATATAGTTGACGGACAGCCAGCAGGGGTCATTGTCTTTTTTGGCATCACCATGGTCTTGTCCAACACTCTATATTTGAAGCTACCAACTGATCCAGTCTTGCCAACTATAACAATGGCCACCGTGTCCTTGATTGTGGGCTATGCGCTTCAGACCAAGAAAGTCGGTATTGCAGGCTCTGAAACCAACCTTCAGCAATATCATCCACTGTTCGTGCTTTCACCTTACCGGCTAGCTACCGTCGTTGCTGGCGTCGGGGTTGCTTTTCTGTTTACGAATTTCCCTCATGGGGTCAGTGTTAAAAGGCGCCTTCGAAGAGACCTCGGTTCATTTCTGTATCTTCTAGCATGTTGCTATAGCTCTTCACACACAAGAGCACGTTTACGAATCAGGAATCTGCCGGGGGATCGTCAGGACAAGGAGAGTCCGGAGAAGGTCCTGGAGAAAGCTCACGCTAGGATGCTTGCGAAGGAAATTGTTCTTCTCCAGGGAATGAAGCACCATAATACATTCCTTGCTTGGGAACTTACAATTGGAGGAAGGTTCCCGCAAGATACGTATGCCAAGTTGGTTCAGCATTCACTGAAGTAAGCACATCTCGGTTCTCCATGCCTTGGCTTTGCAATGACTAACCAGCGCTAGTATGCTCTGCTGCTCGGAAATAGTGGTGTCTATCGCTAATTCATTGGAGAGCGTACTCACTATCACCGACTCCGAGTTCTCCGAAACATGGTTAGGATGCTTCAAGCAACTAAGCACCACCTTGGATTCAAGATCACGGGAAGTAGCATCGCTCCTCCACACTATCTCAAGTGCTATACTGGACGATAAACCGATCCCTTTCTATCTCAAAGCGCCAAAACCATGTCCCCTTACCGAGCTTATCACCGATCTCGATGGGGGTCTTTTCAACGTGCAGCGTGTCTGCGAGCCCACCTACTCCGCGTTTGCAGCGATGGAAATAACCATGGCCCTCATAGCAGATGATGCGTCTCAACTGCTGTCTGAGACAAAGCGACTCGTGGGAAGGTTAGACTTCATCAAAGATTATCCTACGAGCGCGAGTGGGCCGTTCGCTGATAGCGAGCCATATCAACGGAGTGGAGAAATCTTGGGAAGTTGAGACAATTTCCATCTTCGGCATTCTCGAATACGGCGGACAAGCGAGAAAAGGGAAACCGTAAAGGATAATATTGAAACACAGACGGAAGTGGACGCGATGCCAAACAGAAGCGGGATTAATGGCTCACCAGCGAGGGCTGTGAGGGTCTGACATTTGGAGGCGGGTATAGTTAATCCGCCGATCGCGCTCCACTTGGTGGATTGCGGCGGGACCAGGGCAATAGTAGATCTGGAGATCGGGGATTGGCATGAGACCACCGACAACCACCACTGTTTCCTTCTTTTTTTGCATCCTGGGAATTCCATGTTGGTCATGGGATTGCGCGTCTCCAAAACCTATGTTCTTCGCTCCCTCCGAATGCAGGGTGCGCGACGACAATGCGATTGATTCTTCCGCTTCCGTGCACCACCGCATCCGGACAATGCCAATATGCTATGTCTCATAAGTGCCTGCAGGTCCTTGCAGCCAATTTTCCTCCCCTAATTGCCGTCTCCTTTTTTTCTCCCCTTCTATTTTCCCCTCTCTCACTTCCTCTCAGCAGAGAACCCTTGAAAATTATTTTCGGTTCGCTGTGATATGGACCATTCGGCCTGGACTGCCTGTGCATAGACCAGATCCACACACACATTCCACAGCGACGATGCACCGCCCAGCCTTCCTCTCGCTCAACACGCGCTCTCCACGCGACAGCTCCTTCTCCTCATCCTCCTCAACCACCAGCTTAACCGCCAGCCCGCCAATCTCCCCCGCCTCAGGTGTCCGTCGAGCCGGACAAAACAATAAACCATATCCACATCGCCCTGAGCACGGCGTCTCTCCCTCGCCGACGACCACATGCACCACAGCCCCCAAGAATATTAAGGATAACAACAATGATACCCACAAACCGAAAAGCATCCTCCCCTGCGCGGCCCTTCGCGGACGCACCGCAGTGATGATTCTCCGCCGCCGGCCGTCGGCCGTGGACATGGCGCTCAACGAGGAGCGATGCCGCTGCGACGACGACGCTATTGAGCGGCAGGGTCTGCATATGATGGAGCCAAGGCCGGTGGATATGGAGATGCGGCCTGCTTCGGCGGGTGGCACGCCGTTTGAGCTGGGATTCGCTGGGTCTGGCCGCAGCTGGTCTAGCGCTGGATCCGCGTCTTCGGCGGATGAACGGGCTTCGTTGTCCAGGGGCCTGGTTGTGCAGCAGCCGCGGTTTGTGATGGGGGGGATTTTTGAGGTTATGGAGGGAAGGGCTTGAGGGACGGTGTTGTGTTGTGTTGCATCTGTATGGAGTTGGTTGGAGTTGTGGAGTTTGGGTGGTGTATTTTAGGAGCCCGGGATGGCTGTATATCTTTTTGGTGTGGGAAATAAATAATGTCTTAATCTTCGGAAGCCTTCAGTTAGGTTGTTACTGTGTAATAACACCAAGACTTGTCAAGTTAGGGTTATGTTCCTTGAATCTAGTACCAATTTACCTAAATCTGCTGTAGGTGCGATTTCGAAAATCAGACATCAACAACGCCGGCTCAAGGGAGGAAATCCTGTCCGTCCTTCTTTCTTGCAGAACACCAGTAAATGCCGCCTCGTTATTCGTACATGATGGGGGAATGAGGGGGAAATTATGGACAAACAGTGATGGGAAACACGATCGGGAGGGAAAACTCTCCGAGCGCCGCTCGCTAATCAAAACACACAAAAGTGGATGGGATGCAACGATAGTTGTCAGTATCGTTAAATTAGACGTCGGTGATCGATGAATGAACCAAACGGGGGATCTTCAATGATGAGGTCGACGATGCCGATCGATTACTTGGTGCCCTTTCGCTTGTTGGGCCAAAGTTGCTTGCGGCAATTCTCCTCCCCACAGAGACACTTAACAGCATCGGGATCGATCGTTTCGACCATTTCAGCCTCGGGGTTGTAGTCAAATGTAAACTCAGTGTCGGCCGGGATATCGCGAAGCGCGAAGAACGCCAGGTCGTACAGGAAGTGATTGTCGCCTTGCACCGTCGAGACTGGGATCAGCTTGCAATTGGGATTGCAAGAATGGTTCATGAAGCGAGTGATGCTTCCGAACTTCTGGGCATCCACCACGTACTTGCACTCGCCGGACCAATCAAGGCTGAACAAGTAGGACTGATCCTTCTCCGAGGCATCCTCGCGAACGCCTGCCTTCTCCTTGGTGATAACTTCGCCTAGGTATCGGTCGATGAACTGTCCCTTGCGAATAGGGGTAGGAGAGCGAAGACCTATAAGATTTAGCATGTAGGTGGATGGACGCTGAGTAGGTGGACTTACCGAAACCACGGGTCCCAGTATGGAAGATCACCAGGCTGATGGTACGGCCGTCCTGAACGACATGGTTCCAGCACTTTTCATCCGAAGAAGAACTGCATTCACACTGCGAGCTGCATTCAGAGATCATGACCTTGCGTTCGAGGAAATCGGAAGTCAGAAGGCCCTCATTGGTGTAGGGGATGATCGTCTCGCTAGTATCTTCGTCCTTGTACAGACAGGCGCACTTGTCAGAGCAAATTGTGTCACAGCTGCAGCCACAGAGGAACTCTTGTGGAGTAGGTTCGACTTCTTCGTGCAGCTTGTACTCGTTGATGAACTCAAAGTCGGATGCAAGGCGTCGAAGGATCTTGGGGTCATTGACATCGTAGGAGACTGGCGGTCCCTTAATACAGCTCAATTTGAACTGCAGTGTCTCGCGAGTTTCATTTGCGGAATTGGCAGTAGTACCCAGTAGAGTTTGTGTGCCAGTTGGCATAATGGAACTACCGATCGCCAGAGGGGTCTCAGAACGAGAGATTGAAGGCCGAAGAAGCGAGTACTTGCGGTGAGCAGCCATCTTCTCAAAGTGATTAGGCGTAAAGACCTCGAAGAAGTTTGCTGGAACCCCAAGGGGCAAAGAGAAAGCCTGCTCCGTCGCCTCGATCTGTCTTTGCAGATCAGGGGAAGGTCGTGGAATCACTACGCTGATAGGATTCGCAGACAGCGAAGGCTGTCGCGAAGGCTGTCGAGAGGCCTGTCGCAAGGGCTGCTCAGCGCTCTGGTCACTGCTCTTGCGTTTCTGTGGAATCGTAGTGATGAAATGAGCGATCTTGGCTGGAAACTGATGTAGTTGGTTAGTAGTGCTGACGTTGAAGCAGGCAGTGTGCGGATGGATATTCAAAGAAATTAAATGCAGATAAGGTCACACAGCGACAACTTTAAAAGGTTGGTCCTGAAGGAGCCCAAGACGATCATCAAAGACGTCTCTGCAAGTTTGCGGATGGGAGAGGCCTGCCGGGGAAAAGCAAAAAAATGAGTCTAGTTGGTTTACTTACCATCCTGTTCTCCTGATCGTCCTCTGCAGTCAAGTCGACGATAGTCTCATATGGGCGGCTTGGGCGCCGGCCCCTGCCTGGCGGCGCCATACCACCGGGTGGTGAATAGTAGAGCCACGACGGGGACGCGTGCGATAAGCAAGGCTGGCGATAGGAACCAAGGACCGAGTGAGCTAGTGACCTAGGCAAAGACTGATCAAGAGATGAGAATTAAGAAAAAAGAAGCAGACTGAATCAGGAGACGACGGTGAGGTTGAAAGGAGACGAAGTTGAATAGCCTCACTTCACCTTGTCTTGGTTAGGAGAAGGAAGAGAGATATGGGAGTGGACGGTGGAGGTGGCACAGGGAAAGAGAGGAACGCCCCCTTGGCTAGGTTGGGTTGGTCAAAGAGTTGGTGCGCAGACAAGACTCTGCCGCTTCAACCCGCGTTCTAGCTGACTTATCATGGCCACGCCTATTTAGAAAGTTATATGTGTCTTTAGAGACACGTAGGTCTTCGTTTTGGCGATTGATATTACTTTAGAACCTTTAGAGTCATTTAGTTTGTTTCTGACCTAACAACAAAGAAGTGAAGCATCGACGGTAGTTCGATGACTATTGGGCAACCTGTGGCGTGGTGCGGTCAATTCTGGTTTGAAGGGGCTGATTGGCGGTTACTAGTGGTTGCAACTAACGCCCCTAAAACGCGGATTCCCGTGCCCATCGGGTTCCCACATTTACCAGAATGTCTAGGGGCCGATCACCACTATTAGGGGTACTAAAGGCTCTATAACAGATCAGATGCATTTACTATGACATTCCGAATCGCTTTGGGACCAATAAGGGGTTATATGTTTGCTTGGCCGTTGGTTTATGTAGGTTTTATTTGCCTACTACAGTCTATAAGTTGAGCTATCGCTTCTTTTCTCCTAGCCTTAGAATGCCCATCATTTAGTACTCACTATTTAAGGGATTAATTGATTCTATTTCGTTTATCATTTCTGTGAATAGGAAATGCCTACAGGCCACGGCGCTTTGTCAAAGTGTTTGGTGAGCGGTTGCACAAGTTCGCCAACGAACTGGCCAACCTGGCCCCGCCTTAACATAATTGCATAGAGCGCTTGTTCAGCCATGCTAACTGTCGACTTCTGGCAGTTTTGGATCATAAGCACACCTGCGTAAGGTCCGCTTCCCAAAATGTTCTCTACGCAAACATGACTTGATCTACGGAGGTCTTTCTAATTCCATAAGAATCATACCGATTTGTCCCACAGAAACATATACAACGCCTTTCCCTGTCCGCACAACGATCACTCGCAGGGGAGGCAGATAGAGATACCCAACACAAACAAAATCTGGACGCATCCACGAGTGCGTCTTCGCTGAGTTCTATCATACACCATGGAAGATTGAAGCATGTGTCTAAACGAACGAGGTGTGTTGGGGATGGATGAGCCAGACCGGGGAAGGAGGACGGGAGGATGCGATTTCGAAAACAGAAAGACAGTGGGAATGGGGATGGGATGGGATGGATGGGAATCGATGGCCCTGTGATCTTCAGGGGCCATCACGATGCGCATGCAATAATAACGAGACAATGATGGATGATGCTCATGCGGATGCGTCGTTGATGGGTGGGAAAACTGGACAAGCGAAGAACAGAAAAGAAAAAGAGAAGGATAAGCACACAATCATTCAGTAGAGAAATATATGCTCTTCTCAAACCAAACCAAGGAGGCCGGACTACAATCGCAGAGCATCCAGGATCTTCTTTGCCATCTCCCGGTACTGCCACATACCACCTGCGACCTTCTTGAACTGGATGCCGTGCAGCGAAAAAAGAGGGACCTTCACGATAAGGATGTCGAAACGCAAAATCATGTTTTCGCCGGTATCGCTCTGCACTCGAGTGGTGGTCTCGCCAACCACTCGCTCGCCAGTCGGCTGCGGTTGGTTCCGGGCCACAAATTCATCAGATTGATCAGAATTCGTCGTAAAACTTTGGTCCGGCGGGCCCTGACTTCGGCGCTGTAGCTTCGAATGTCCAGTGCGAGGTTCCTCTCGCTCATCGTGGCCAAGAAGTCCGCCGAAACTAATCCGACGGCGATGCGGGAGCTGGCCCTGTCGGTCGGGACTGGGTGGACTGGTATCCACCACCTTTTCCAGATCAATACTGGGGGCGTGGCGACAGCTGAACCCTCCCTTAACCTCATGATAGTCCACAGATAGCTGGTTCAAAACACGGATGATGTCGGCTCGAATGACGGGCAAGGGCTTGCTACTAGTGGTTGAAACACTAAAGAGACCCTTGAGGTATACCGGCTTAGACAGATCTTCCCCGTCGTTGGCACTCTGCAGGGCTGTGCCCGCGCCAGAAATATCAGCATCGGTCTCCTCAGGGAGATTGGCCTCTCGGGCGGCTTCCCGACGTGCTCGCCGGGCCTGGATGCTCTCTCGACGGGCATGGCCCAGTGACATTGTCCGTGCCGTGTGAGTGCGCCCACCAGTTCTTGCACCAGACTCGCCAGACTGGTCTTTCTGGTTGTTTTGGTCGGAGCCACTAGTTGAAGGTGGTTGGCGATCTGCCGCCACATCCAAGGCGTCCGCGTCACTCCTACGAGCGGCCCTCCGGGATCGATAGTCTGCCGAATTGACGCTGGTAGATCGTTCAAGGAACTTGGCTGACCGCGATGACCGCTCAGCTGATCCTGGAGCAGTGAGAAGATCTTGATGTTGGGGCTGGCTTCCCCCAGAGGGAATAGAGGTTGCGTCAGGACGCCGAGATTTCCGCATACTGAACCCACGATGCAATGGGGAGGCAGAGTCGGCAGGTGGCTGAACGTTGAGGGTGGGAGTGTTAGGAGTGCTGATGCGTTCCCGCTCGCCGTCGCGACTGCGATCTTTGGTCCTGCGTGTGCTGAATCGTCTCAAGAGGCCAGCAGCAGTACTTGCTCTTTTGACTGGAGTGTCTTGTTGGACAGCCTGGCCAGATGACGAAGAAGTGTGCAGATTCTTTATGCCCTCCGTGACTTCCTCCTCGCCATGGGTTCTGGCACGCGGGCGAGATCGTTGGCTAGTGTCCTTCTCGCCTGGCAGTTGGTATTGGTTGGTGTGGGCAGCCGCTGGGACGTCCGGCATTTGAAGATCGCTCGGTGACTGATTAAGGGCAAGGGCACCAGGGCGGGCCTCGGTTCGCTCACGATCAAGCTTCTCCTTCACAAGGTGGTAGATGGAAACCAAGGGGCTGTAGGCGTTGAGTGGGTCATTGCCCAACTGGACAGCCTCGGCAGAAGGTGCAGAAAGCGTGTCACGGCTGGCAGCAGAATTCCGTCGCTTGTAGAAATCGAACACTCCACGTTTTTTCTCGGTGGGGTTGGCCGCTGGTGCTTCCCGCGCGCTCAATCTCACAGCATGTTGATACTCCTCCGACTCCAGGACCTTGGTCAGTTGGGTTGTGATGTACTCCGGAGGGCCAAAATCAAAGCCTGTCATCCTCTCGATGATCTCTGGGTCCAAGGGAAGCTGCAACGGTTCGCGATGGGGGAGATAATTTTCTGGAGGAGTGTTGAAACCCTTATTCATCCACGGATGATTCAGGATCTCTGACAAGCTGGCACGCTGCTTGGGATCAGTGACTAGCATGCGAGAAATGATGTGGCGACACTCTGCAGAGAAGAATTAGCATTGTCAACAACCAAAAAAGATTTCCAGTAAACAACATACCTGTCGTGAGCCCTGGAGGATATTCCACAACGCCTTTCTTGATCTTGGCATGAAGCTGGGGCATGCTTTGATCATCAAAGGGAACCTTTCCGCAGACTAGAACATAAAGAACAATTCCAAAGCTCCAGACATCTACTTCAGGACCCGTGTACTGTCTTGCCTGGAGAAGCTCTGGAGCAGCAAAATAAAGACTGCCACAGAATGTCTTCAAAAGGCTTTTGGGGGAGAAGAGGTTGCTCAGTCCGAAATCGATTATTTTGATATCCCCCGTTTTGCTGATCAGGATGTTCTCGATCTTCAAGTCTCGGTGAACAATGCTGTTGCGGTGGGAGTAATCCAATGCACTGGCAATCTGGCGCGCGAACTTGCGCGCCTGCTTTTCCTTCAATTTGCCATGGGAGATGATGTAGTCCAGCATCTGCCCGCCGTTGACATATTCAAACAGCATATACCAGTGGTAAGTGGTTCGCACCACGTCACGCATCCCACAGATGTATGGGTGATTCACAAGACTAACAATGGCAGCTTCTCGAGCTGTTCGGATCTCCTTTGAGCGATCTGCTCGCTCTGTGTCACGGCTACTGCGGTGCTCTTCGGTCGAGAGCCGGGGGACGATCTTGATCGCAACCTGCAATTGAAATCAGTTATTTATTGCTCACTCAGCAGAATCGGACCAATATCTGATTACCTGTTCCCCAGTCTCCATGTTTTTGGCCAACTTGACCTTGCCCATACTTCCTGCACCTATCGTTTTCCCCAAGGCCCACTGGCCCGTAGGCGTGGTGATTGTTGTACGACGCCTAGGCTGTGTGGAGGCGGTGGGCGGGTGTGCCCCGGTCGCAGACTGCGACGGGTCCGCCGCACGGTCGGGCGCAGTGGTGGCCGCGGCGGATGCCATGTCGACACTCTCTCGTCGATGGCCCTGGGCGGAAGGGCCCCTTTGGTGATGTCTCCGAGTAGACTCAGTTCGAGTCGCAGTGGATGGGCGCTCTTGAGATCGCTCCGCCGACGCTTCACGACGCGAGGGCATCCGACCGACATTGGACGCCTCGAAGTCCCGTCGAGCTACACTATCGACAGCAGCGTAATTTGAAGGAGGGCGACGGTCATGGGAGGGAGTTTTGGCGTGGGAGTAATGGGGTTGCTGTGGAGGGGGCTGGGAGGATGAGGTCGGTCGGACCGCCACGCTGCGAGTACGCTGAGGTGCGTCTGGGGCCGGTGGACGATGAGAGGGACGAGCGGAAGTAGAATGGCTTCGGACGACTGGCGACGACGAAGCAGGCGCCGGAGCCGACATCACGATCGGTAGGAAAAGGACAAGAGTCGGTCAAAGGTAAAGGGAGCGGGGAGGCAGGCGCTGACGAGGAGACAGGGATCTGGCCCCATG